TTACACACACAGTATTTATAGAGATTAGTCCCATTTTAATGACAAACTCTAAGGCATTCTAAACTTTCATATTGTGTTGCTCGCTCACTATATGGAAGTATTGAACAGACTAAGTAAAGAATCAGGCAGCAGTTTTTTAGTCTGTCTAATATTCTAATCTACCTGTCCTCTGGGTCTCTTCTAAAATAAAACAAATCTAAGATATTTTATTTTTGAAGGAACATTCCAAGTACCATGACCACTACAGACCTCTGTGATTGTTATTGTGGCAGGAGTGTACTGTGCCCTCCCCATTTAAGAATAGTGTGAAAACGTACCTGGGGATCTACAGGCCGGACCCGCACTGCACTGAGCTAACCTTGCAGCACTTAGTTGATGCTCCAGTCAATGGCCTGTCCCTGAACAGCGCACCGCAGGTAAGTTGGCAAAGCATTCCTTAACAGATTGGTTACTTAGATTGCTAAAGCACCAGGGCATTCCTAGAACCGTAACCACTACAGTGTTTAGTATTTTCCTTTAAATTCTCCAGAAAGCTTCAGGGGGAAGGGGAATGTTTTACACTTTCTGATTCTAAATAGCAGCTGAAAATGCTGTGTGTGTCTCTGACATATTGTCGTACCTTTAATCTTCATGGCATAAGTGACGGACCGCTGTCACTAAGTACCATGCCCACTGCATATTTGTGTGTTTTCCCCTTGTATCGTGTGGTCCCTCTGTGTAACGTATAGAAGGGTATTGCTGTCTGTATCTCTCCCACTTTCCCCTCCCTTTTCCTGTCACAGCAAGACGTTGCCACAGAGACACTGCCAGCCCAATGTAACCTAGATGCATTGTCCTTCCTCCCTCCCCCATTCAGCTTTTTGGGATTGAAACCTCTATTGGTTTTTGTGTTGGAGACCCCATGTAGGGGTCTGTGTCTGTAAAAACCATGTGTACAAAATAAACTAAGTCAGTCAGTGTTGTAACCTCCAGGACTGTGTTTTGTCCAGTTACTGGGGGGAAAATGGATGCTTGCATGTTATAAGGGTTCCTGAACAGCTGAAGGAAGGGTTACGCGTGTCCACTACAGCATACATATCCCTGCCCGTGCAACACTTGCTATTTGCTTCTGTTACCATTTTAATTCAGTCCCTTTAATAATATGGCAGGAAAAAACTGAGGGCAGAGAGAGACATCACTTTCCATTTATTAATTACACATGTTATAAACATGTTATAAACTATATATATTACACATGTTATAAACATGATATAAACTGAGCAATATGTAAATTGATATGTTATCAATCAGAAAAATATGGAAAAAAAATTATTATTTGGCATGATGCTCAGAATCTTCGATGGGTACACCATTTATATAACAATGAAAATGGCAGGGCCTGACTATTGAACAGAGCAGATGCTAATCATCACAGCTCCTGCTAGTCATGATACGTAAATTGTGTTTTGCTCAAAAACCAGCTCAAACCTGACATAATTGGTCCACTCGGTGTGAAGTGACCACAGGAGACACACAATGACTTCAAACATGCAGATGACCCTGCAAGACTCACCCGAACGTTCATTGCGGCCTACAAGCATTGCTAGCGTGGGGGATGCGGCCAATCTTACGCCTCCACGTATAGCTGGAACCTCAAGCCTAGGACCTTATCCCCCTTATTGGACTGGTGGGTTTATCTTGGTTCCTGGTGTAAGGCCTAAAACCTCATGGCAGCAACACCAACAGAGTCTTTCGGCTCTTAAAATTGTTTAGTTTTGACAATACATCTTTTAAATATCATTTATCCCATTAATGTTGTATTATATATATTCACAATGCTTCTACAAACAAATTATTTAAATAAACGTTACCTCACTTAGCACTAGCACTATTTAATTTGTCTCCCATGTTGGAATTAGTGAAGGACCCACCGACAATGGGGTACTGTGATGTTATTAGTGTAGGGCCCCCCGGTATTGGGGTACTGTGATGTTATTAGTGTAGGGCCCCCCGGTATTGGGGTACTGTGATGTTATTAGTGTAGGGCCCCCCGGTATTGGGGTACTGTGATGTTATTAGTGAAGGACCCAGCGATATAGGGGTACTGTGATGTTATTAGTGTAGGACCCAGCTTTATTGGGGTACTGTGATGTTATTAGTGTAGGACCCCCCTGCTATTGGGGTACTGATGTTATTAGTGTAGGACCCCCTGGTATTGGGGTACTGTGATGTTATTAGTGTAGGACCCCCCCGGTATTGGGGTACTGTGATGTTATTAGTGAAGGACCCCCCTGGTATTGGGGTACTGTGATGTTAATAGTGTAGGACCCCCCGGTATTGGGGTACTGTGATGTTATTAGTGTAGTACCCACCGACAATGGGTTACTGTGATGTTATTAGTGTAGGGCCCCCCGGTATTGGAGTACTGTGATGTTATTAGTGTAGGGCCCCCCGGTATTGGGGTACTGTGATGTTATTAGTGTAGGACCCCCCTGGTATTGGTGTACTGTGATGTTATTAGTGAAGGACCCAGCGATATAGGGGTACTGTGATGTTATTAGTGTAGGACCCAGCGATATAGGGGTACTGTGATGTTATTAGTGTAGGACCCAGCTATATTGGGGTACTGTGATGTTATTAGTGTAGGACCCAGCGATATAGGGGTACTGTGATGTTATTAGTGTAGGACCCAGCTATATTGGGGTACTGTGATGTTATTAGTGTAGGACTCCCCTGCTATTGGGGTACTGTGATGTTATTAGTGTAGGACCCCCCCGGTATTGGGGTACTGTGATGTTATTAGTGAAGGACCCCCCGGTATTGGGGTACTGTGATGTTATTAGTGTAGGGCCCCCCGGTATTGGGGTACTGTGATGTTATTAGTGTAGGACCCCCCTGGTATTGGGGTACTGTGATGTTATTAGTGAAGGACCCAGCGATATAGGGGTACTGTGATGTTATTAGTGTAGGACCCAGCTATATTGGGGTACTGTGATGTTATTAGTGTAGGACCCCCCTGCTATTGGGGTACTGTGATGTTATTAGTGTAGGACCCCCCGGTATTGGGGTACTGTGATGTTATTAGTGTAGGAGACCGCCGGTATTGGGGTACTGTGATGTTATTAGTGTAGGACCCCCCGGTATTGGGGTACTGTGATGTTATTAGCGAAGGACCCCCCTGGAATATGGGTACTGTGATGTTAATAGTGTAGGACCCCCCGGTATTGGGGTACTGTGATGTTATTAGTGTAGTACCCACCGACAATGGGTTACTGTGATGTTATTAGTGTAGGGCCCCCCGGTATTGGAGTACTGTGATGTTATTAGTGTAGGGCCCCCCGGTATTGGGGTACTGTGATGTTATTAGTGTAGGACCCCCCTGGTATTGGGGTACTGTGATGTTATTAGTGAAGGACCCAGCGATATAGGGGTACTGTGATGTTATTAGTGTAGGACCCAGTGATATAGGGGTACTGTGATGTTATTAGTGTAGGACCCAGCTATATTGGGGTACTGTGATGTTATTAGTGTAGGACTCCCCTGCTATTGGGGTACTGTGATGTTATTAGTGTAGGACCCCCCCGGTATTGGGGTACTGTGATGTTATTAGTGAAGGACCCCCCTGGTATTGGGGTACTGTGATGTTATTAGTGTAGGACCCCCCGGTATTGGGGTACTGTGATGTTATTAGTGTAGTACCCACCGACAATGGGTTACTGTGATGTTATTGGTGTAGGACCCCCCCGGTATTGGGGTACTGTGATGTTATTAGTGTAGGACACCCCGGTATTGGGGTACTGTGATGTTATTAGTGTAGGACCCCCCCCGGTATTGGGGTACTGTGATGTTATTAGTGTAGGACCCCCCCGGTATTGGGGTACTGTGATGTTATTAGTGTAGGACCCCCCCGGTATTGGGGTACTGTGATGTTATTAGTGTAGGACCCCCCCGGTATTGGGGTACTGTGATGTTATTAGTGTAGGACCTCCCCGGTATTGGGGTACTGTGAAGTAGTGGTGGGTTTAGCACAATCTGGCCCTATGGTGGTACTGAATCCCCATATTAGTTTGCTGAGATAGGCGATTGTAAGTAGCATTATAGAATTTAGAAATGTATTTTATGAGTACGCTGTTCCTTAATCTGTATTAAGAGCTTATAAAAATTACTGACAGGGAGCTAAGATGGACGCCCAGTTACAGAATAAACAGATGTGGATTTCTACATTAAATTTTATTTTGTACACCTCAAAAATACACATTTGTTATACTGTATATAGTGATAAGTAAAGCGAAAATTAGAAATCCCAGGAAATGAGATGTTCCCTTTAACCCTCTCTAACCATCTGCTCCCCCTGTATTTCTATCACTATTTGACTAGTTTAAAGCTATATTGACTTTATAGTTTAAGTCCACGTTTATCTCATGTCCAAACCAGTTGTTCTTTACCTATTGGTGTCCAAAAATGTGTTTCCATAATATTTCAGTCACCATTTGTAGGATCAGGCAATGATAATTTGCTTTCTGTACTTGCATTGCGTTTCCCCGATATTATTTCCCTTTGATAGGAGGAGAGTTTAATTAAGCTGTATTTTAATATCAGTTACATGATGCTTGATCAGTAACGTCCTCAGCTAAGCTTCCAGTTGAAGAACTAATTAATGCCTTGTACCTGAAGTGGGTCCCTGACAAAAATGGTTAGAAACATGGTTCTAAATAAACTGACATACCAACCTATTTATTATGTATTCCATGTCCTCATTAAATTTCCATTTCATTCCCAGTGCAGTGATGAATTGAATTATTATTATTTTTACAATTAACACTTTGTTCAAAATTGTATAAAACTAAATATGTAATTAAAACACAGGACATAGAATAAAGTATTCTCACACATGCCCACGGTTCTCAGACCAGATGATATTGACCCACAGAGGGCAGATTTACTAACTCGTACTTATAAGGAGGCAGTGGACAATACACACAATACGTTATTTGCCATCTATGTTTATTTCAGATACACACACGGGGTCCTGGAGAAGGGAGAGCTGAGGCAGGGCTGAGTCTGAGTATGGGTAAAGCCTTACTTACTTTTAATGGGTGACCATTTTGAACCTGCCATATCCTTTTTATTAAGCATCATGTAATACATATTAAAATGGCTTCCAATTCAGCTTTTGCTTTCATCTTTCACAATATGTCAGCTAAACTAAAATATTGTCTCAATCTTGGCTCAGACAAGTCGCTGCCTGGGGTCCTCTACTCATGAGATGTTTGCAGAAGATTGAGTCGTACGTTTGGGTCGGTATTAACCTCCGTTTGTATTGTTTTCATAGTATGAGTAGGTGAACTTGTTGATCATTACATAATAATAAATCACAAATGAAATCCAAGCAACATGTCCGACAATTCCCAATCCCAGAGCCACCATGTTTAGTGTAAACGATGTGCGTGATTCGCTTGACGCCATTATCATGTCTCCACGTCTCATTGAGTCCACCGTCTAAGAGACAAAATTAAAAATATTGGTTACTACTGACCATAAGCTATGTCATTATTTTAGCCAATATCGTCCACAATAGTGAACGTATCTTATGTGTAAAAAGTGACGTTAAGTTTAGATGCCAAAGCCAAGTAAGACACTAGGTGATATATATTTGTTTAACTGTAATGAACCTCTTGGAAGCTATTCAAAATGCTTATCAAATAATGGCTTTCTACTCTTTTGAATAAAAGGGATTTTAGTTATTTCATTATTATTTTATTGCTATGAAAAAAACTTAATTTTATTTCTTGACATTTAAAAAAAAACATTTCCTATTGCATTTCTTTATCCTTAGGTGAAAATTACACCAGATTATTTTTGTACAATAAGTAAAATGTCATACTGATATTTTGGATTTTTATGGTACCCAAAAGTGTCAGATGTAAGTTCCACACATCTTCTTGGTATATAGTATGTGAAAATACATAATAAAGGCTATATAGTGCAGATGGTACGTCACAATAAAATCAGATAAAATGGTGGTGAAGTGCAACACTCACATTTAACGGAGCCTGTATATGAAAACTGGCACCGTAATCAGGCTTGTATGCTTTTAAGACAGCATCACACCTACAATCCACGATATGATGTATCTCAAAGAGAAAACATGGAGAGAAGGGAACCAATGTGCAGTCTGTTTCAAATTATGTGCAGAGTGAAAATAAGTAAAATGCTCACCTTTTTCAGAGCAGTGTTTCCTGGCTCTGATGAGTAATAACTATGTGCCAGTATATGTGGGCATGGCACTTCCCCTAGGTAGATTCGGTAGGCTCCAGAGGACTACTTAAAATATTTACATTTATTAATACAATGTATTCATATAACCTATAGTATAAAAATATCAAATAAATGAGTCTGGAAAAAGCCAAAACGCGTTTCACTCTTAGAGAGCTTCCTCAGTGAAACTGAGCTGACTGAGGAATCTCTCTCAGAGTGAAACATGTTTTGGCTTATTCAACCTACTCTGCCTTTGTCACCTTCAAATTTGGTGGTGGGCGGGTTTGTGCAATGATAACAATCTGTCTCTCAGGGATGATTGTATTGATTTAAGTTTGATTTAAAAGTTATTTTAAAGGATATTATACACACAGCCCTGTATTATACAAAGAGCAGCACTATACAGGGGAGCACTGACTGTCCCAATTTATTATACACACAGCCTCTTCAGCACGGGAGTTTATGCCGAAGAGCTAATTGACAGGTGAGAGAAAGACCTCTTATTAAATAGATTTTGCTTCCAATATATGCATTATGCACAATGTACAGATAGACGTAATTGATGTGATCCTGACAGTAATACACACATATATATGCATGTATATTAATGTGTGTATTAGTAACATTTATAATTATACAATATACTATTTTTTGTATATAGGAGCATACCTTATTAGGTGGTTATTTAATTATTATCATTTATTATTTTCTTCTTCGTCACTACCAGATCTCGTTTATAATTATCCACCTGACATTAACCATGTCAGTATGACTATTTATTTTTTATTTTTTTTGAGTTTCAATGTTTTATTCGATGGTGTAATTTCCAGAATAGTAATGGTTGCCTTTTAAACCGCTTGTATGCTGTCCCCCTTGATCACTTTAACTTTCATTAGTATATGAGGGCATAATACATAGGTGACGATGGAAAAAATATAGAATTGTTTCACAAGAATTCAAATTTAGGCACGTGAGTAAATGTGTTGTGTTAAATGCATCCTTTGTGTTGCAAATGGCTATTGAAAATCATTTTGGCTACAGTCCTTGTATCATTTAAGTCTCCCTTGCAAGACGTACAAACATGCACTGCAGAGCTGTACAGACAGGGGTGTTAATGGGATTTTTTTATACAAATACAGAATGTTTTTCATTGCCTTTACTGCTTTATTTGGAAATTATAATTTTTTTTTTATTCTTTATTTTTCTTGTGCACAAGATAACATACAAGCTTGCATAACCACGACGGCTGATTCATGCATATCAACAGTAATCACATGCATGGCAGAGCGGACAGCACATTTTATATATGTTAGGAACTTCATGCTTTGGAACAGTTTTAAACAGTGTGGCAAACCTAGCCACTTCAGAATATTTTGTTTCACTTTAAGGGTTGCCCTAGAAAGACTGGTTTATAAATGATGTTTGATGTATCTGTTTAAAATGTGAAAGAGGGAATTCGTATTCTAGTGGCACAAAAGCCGCTAGCATTCATATGGTAGTTTCACGAACAGGGATTTTCAACACTGTTCGTGAAACGAACAAAGTACCGAATGGGAGCCCACACAAAGGGGATTGTGTGGCTCCCATTAACCAATCGCAAAATTGTATCTATCAGCTGTTAATTGATTCCCGGGTGGCCGTCGTTCGACTACCGACCACGAGGCGGTGGCCATCTTGGATTTCCTTTGTGCCCAGCGGTGTTTGGTCGTCGAGTGCCTGGAACTAAAATCGGCTACTCGACAGCACGAACACCGCTGGACTCCCGTTCGGGAGCGCCGGACTTTTGGTACTTTTTCCCCACTTATGTATTCGTGACTTTTATGATGAATGTATGTTAAAGTATATTTCGTGCGGCGTTCGGTTGATTGTGTGGGGATCTGAGCGGTACTTTCATGAAGTGTGCGCTCAGACCCCAGCTATCTGCCGAACGGTCATTCGGTACAGTGACATGAATAAAATAAAAGTTATGGATTTTTATGTAAAAAGCCAGTTCTGCTGTACGGAGGGATAATCCACTTAACAGGATATTCTAGTGGGAGTATCCCTTTCGTACAGCAGTGCATAGTGGGAGAAATGTTCTATATGTTAAGTTCCCCATATAGTCCCCTACTGTACAACCCCTGTAAAGTCAGTAAGGAAACCCCTTGCATGGGGAACCACATAAATACTGGAGCTTGTGAATAAAATCGTCAGTTGACTCCCAGAACTGTGTTTCATCCGGTTACTGGGGGGATTTGGGATATTGCCTTCATTTTCAGCGCTTTCCTTGGATTACCTTCTTTTACCAGCGGAGATATTGGGATTTAATATTGCAGCTCTGCTACAATTGGTGGCAAGCGACGGGATCCAACCTTACAGCCGAAAAGCGGTGTTCGGGTAATTGAAACTGCCGAACGGGAAAGTGAATGGCAATTCGTATGAAACAAACAACCGAACACAGAGGTGAATGGAGACAGATTATATTGCATTGAAACGGCAGACGTTGAAGGAACTATTGGAAGCCAGGGGTAAGATAGCCAGCAATAAGTCGAAGGCTGTACTTATTGCCGAACTGATGGAGGGAGACAGAGCTCGCAGCGCTACACCCCCACCAGGCATGGAAGAGACCCCGTTCCAGAAAGAGATGAGAATCAGACTAGAATTCCTACCCCAGCCAGTACCGCTGGAAATGCTGACGTACTGATGGCGGATGTGCAGAGTATGTGATGGCACACAGACCGCAGGATTCACCCTCCAGAGGAGAATCTACTGCTGCTTCAGTCACCAGCCAGGTAAAACCCAAGATACCGCATCATACATTTAAAATGTTTTGTGAAGACAAAGATGAGATTGATGGGTATCTACAGGATTTTGAGAGACTGTGTGACCTGCATGATCTGGAGCAGGCAGTGTGAGTACCTTTAGTGGCAGGCAAATTATTGGTCGGGCAGCCAAAGCATATCGGGCCGTGCCCAGAGAGGAAAGCAAAAATTACGCCAGGGTAAAACCAACAATATTGGAGAGATATGCCATTACCCCGGAAGCATACCGGCGCAAGTTTCGAGGACTGCGCAAACCGGATAAAGACTCCCACGCAGAGTCAGCACACAAGCTGGATCAAGCCTCCCAGGGGTGGATACAAGCTAGCCAAGCTACCACCATGGAGGAGTTACGTCAACTGCTATTGTTGGAGCAGTTTTACAATGGTCTGACAGCAGAGGCAGAAGAATGGGTGAGAGACAGAAAACCCCTCACCCTAACAGAAGCTGCACGACTGGCGGACCAGCACTATGATGCCAGGAGACATTATGGTAACGTATATAGAGGGTATCCTCGACCTTCCACCCAACCTCCTACAACTACTATTACCGCACCCACAACAATCCAATTTTTTCCAGCAACTGGGGGGCAAACTCCACTGTCCCGATAAAATGGCCGATCTAACATTCAGTGCCATACCTGCAAGCAATGGGGCCATATGGCGAGAGAATGTACGCAGAACCAGAGCCGTCAAGCACGGAGCCAAGTACGACAAAACCCAGCACCACGAGCAGCCGCGCACCACTACCTGGCAGAGCCAGCACCCCAGGAGCTAATGTTTAATCTCACCGAAGAGCCCCTGGGAATACTGCATTATGTGATGTCTGTACAAGCCACAGACAATAGGCACCCTCATCGCCAGATGGTAACCTTGGAGGGGAAAGAAGTACAAGGGCTCCGAGATTCGGGGGCCACTCTGACTCTAGTAGCACCTCATTTGGTTCCAGGCTCAGCACACACAGGCGGATCCGTGGCAGTCCGAGTAGCAGGGGGAGCGATGTACCGGTTGCCAACCGCAAAAGTTGAATTGGGGTGTGGGGGAAGGGCTAGTAGAGGTGGGCCTGATGCAAAAAGTGCCAGCAGATGTCGTATTGGGAAACGACATGGGCAGAATGACTTCTGCTTTTGTACCTCAAGCCCCACTCCAAGTGGCGCACCCGGTAACCACAAGGCAACAGGCTCGCACCGCACTCTGAGGCTCAGGTAAGAGACAATGTACCCCCTATGACTTGTGTTCCCTGGGATACCCCAACTGAATTTGGGGCAGGTCTAGAGGAGGGGTATTTAGGCCCAGTTCTCATCCTGTTCAGTGCCCTGTTGTGGTTTCCCTATTGGCTGTCAGAGAGCACGTTCCTGATTCAAGTTTCTTCTGGTTTTTGACTTTGGCTTTGATTTTGACTTCCCTGTATTCTGGTATCCCTGACTTCTGGCTTTCACTTATCGCTGTGTCTCTTTCTGTATCCCCTGACCTCGGCAAGTATCCTGACTATTCTTTGGTACGTTAAGTCCGGCCATTCTAAGACCCGGTAATACGTTACCTATTAGTCATCTGACATAGTTCTACGTGCTGGATCAACTAGTAATCCTGACATTACGACATGGCCATAGATCCTGTAGAATTGTGTCAGCACATAGCTGCTTGCGAGAGAAAGCTAGAAGAGAATGATCACCGTATGGATCAGTTTGCCCAGGCTTTCAGCACGCTCCTTACTAGAACAGCGCATCTGCTACCTGTGGCTTCTCCAACTGTGTCACCTCCGCCTAATGTACCTCCTGTAGTACATACGGCACCTACTATCTCCCTATCTCCTCCCCTGCATTGTGATGGTAATATTCAAGAATGCCGGGGATTTATTAACCAAGCTGAGTATCATTTTGAGGCCTCACCGGGATCTTTTCCCACTGACAGAGCTAAAATTGGTTACCTGATGAACCAACTTAAAGGGACACTATAGTCACCTGAACAACTTTAGCTTAATGAAGCAGTTTTGGTGTATAGAACATGCCCCTGCAGCCTCACTGCTCAATCCTCTGCCATTTAGGAGTTAAATCCCTTTGTTTATGAACCCTAGTCACACCTCCCTGCATGTGACTTGCACAGCCTTCCATAAACACTTCCTGTAAAGAGAGCCCTATTTAGGCTTTCTTTATTGCAAGTTCTGTTTAATTAAGATTTTCTTATCCCCTGCTATGTTAATAGCTCGCTAGACCCTGCAAGAGCCTCCTGTATGTGATTAAAGTTCAATTTAGAGATTGAGATACAATTATTTAAGGTAAATTACATCTGTTTGAAAGTGAAACCAGTTTTGTTTTTTTCATGCAGGCTCTGTCAATCATAGCCAGGGGAGGTGTGGCTAGGGCTGCATAAACAGAAACAAAGTGATTTAACTCCTAAATGACAGTGAATTGAGCAGTGTAATTGCAGGGGAATGATCTATACACTAAAACTGCTTTATTTAGCTAAAGTAATTTAGGTGACTATAGTGTTCCTTTAAAGGTAAAGCTTTAGCTTGGGCCAATCCGTTATGGGAGAGTAGTAGGAGCATTGCACACAATTACCAAGAATTCCTTGTGGAATTTAAACTTACGTTTGAACCATTAGGCAGGGAGGATGACGCCTCCACTGCCCTAATGCATATTAGACAAGGAAACCGGTCTATCTCAGAGTATGCTATAGAATTTCGCACCTTTCGTTTCCGAGGTAGACTGGACTAACAGCGGATTAATCTCAGCATTTAAGAAGGAATTATCTGAGTGGTTACTTTTTATCTTGAGTGTATAACAGAGCTCCACAGCTAGAATACTCACAGCAATGTGTTTTTAACCCCTTAAGGACACATGACACGTGTGACATGTCATGATTCCCTTTTATTCCAGAAGTTTGGTCCTTAAGGGGTTAAACTACAATAAATGTGTTTAAAAATCAGTCTGTGTAGGGGGCGTCGCTGGGCCTCCACGTTGAAAGGTAGCATGAAAGATCAGCTCCTGCAGATTCTTGCATAATGGGCTCAAAATAAGCTGTTAACCTTACAACCCAACGCCTAAACATTATAGGTCACTGGGCACAGAGGTATCGGAGCTGAAGCCAGTCTTTCAACAAGAGTTTTAGCCCTTTGGAGGGTGATTTGCCGACTTTGTAGCTAAGGCCTACTCAAGCTGTGAGTGGGGTGGACGGTCGCCCCCCTGCTATCTAGCTCAACGGTTCTTAGCCGACAGTTCTTAGCTCAACAGTTCTTAGCCACTGCGTGGTGCTAGCCTTGTTTCCCCCCCTTTGGACCGATGGGGGTGATCCCGGTCCTCGCCCTGGAGAGCCTACTGCAACCCAGAGTACTGCTACACAGAAGGGAAGCCTTACCCAAAATGGTGGATGCTCCATGTCGAGCTAACCACATCATGACACAAGCTAACCTCACTAGCACACTCAACAAAATCTTTGCGGATTTCTGGGAAAAGCTGAACCACCGAATGCAACAGCCTGTGCAACAGGAGGGGAGAGATCGTCCACCCCAAAGTCTACCACCCAAGATTAAGCGGAAGATGCCAGCTCCAGCTCTGTGGAAGGCCTGTGCCAGACAGAAGTGGCTGAAGCAGTCTGTCTCGAAGACAGCAGCACATGGCCCCCTCAGAGGCTGAAAGCCATGCAGACCTTACCCTAGCTTAGACTGGAGGGATGGCACACAGTGGGAGCCAACGCAGCCATCAATGGGCTTTCCTTGCTGCAATATCTGGACGCCGCGCCTGCCAATACATGCAGGATGTCAGACCTGATCGGGACTGTGCTTTACCCCTGGAAGGTGTTGGTTGAACTGTGCCTCTTGCGGCTATTGTGCCACTTTGTCAATACTACACATGCCTACACCACATGTATTAATTTCATTTATTTGTGATTTGTCTTATCTTTTATTGTTTTCCTCCGTTCCTGGGGACTCTCTAGTCTACACTTAGATGTCTCTGATGTTGGCAGTTCGTACTCCATGCATCAGCGCTGGGGGTCTCGTGGGTGACACACTCTCTATTGGTCAGGCATGCCAGCTCTTCATGGTAGTTCTCTCTTAGTAGTCTTGCACAAACTGAGCTGGTACAGATTTAAGCTTGCAATACATTTTTTTTTTCTACTTAACCCATTCTCAGTTAGCAAGTCATCATAGCATTGTTTATTTACTTGAATTTATCTCTTGCATCTGGGCCGGTTTACTACCTGATTTATTACCAAAAAATGTGCTGGATTATTGTTTGCCATGCAATTGTCCTACTACGTATGTTGTTATGCTTGCATCTGCTGTTGTGGCACTGCAAGATGGTCTGTATATTCTGAGCACAGCAAAAATAAAGAATATACATATTTTTTTTTTTAAATCAGTCTGTGTAAATAAGATGCATTGTTCTTCTAAATTACATTTTAGTTTTATAAATTGTTATTAGTAAGTCACCAAAAGTGTCTCAAAACAGTCCCGCTTGTGTTCGCACCCCCACTTATTAGAAATTAATAATGTCCCTCTTTGTCCATTTAAAATAATGGGGGGTATGTGACCATAGTATGTTGACCATGTCAGAATGAACCCTATCATGAAGAACTAAAACACACCACAAACCCCTTTACCTTGCAGGAGTAAATAAGTGCAATGATTCCGAGGGGGAAACAGCACAGGAGCAGGTTCATAATGGACAGGCCCAGGTAATCCTTGTAGGCTGGCTGAGGAACGACCATCACATTGGGTTGTGTTGTGACTATAGGCGCCCGGTTTGGTTGAAGGTTAAAGCTTGGTATGGGCTGTCCGTACTGGTATGATGGTGGGTTATTGTTATACCCAGGCTGAGCAGGTGCTGCTCCATGATATTCTGTGTTGTATGATCCCGGAGACGGATACATGCCCCACTTGTTGCCGTTATTAGGTGGAGGAGTCTCCATCATCTTCAAAGACCAACGAAGAGTGTCTTTGCAGAATATTGTCACATCATTTTCCTCTCCTGTAATATTTCACGTCATGGATTCCTTCCCTGTATAATGTGAAGCTATGGTGTCATGTGCAATATTTATTATTCAGTATGACCACGGCTCGCACATAGTCAGCGGAGCGTCCCTATTGTACGGCTTGCCCGAGGTGTTTAAAAAGGTGTCATTAATTAATGCAGTCTATTATGGACACCTTCAGTATCAGAGGATCTTTTACACTATTATATATTATGTTACAAAGTACAATACGTTACATTAGCTCGTTGCCTTGGTTACTCTGTTTCAGAGGGAGAGGAAAATACTACGTCATTTTTTTTAAGTTTGCGATAGCCGTACATCCTGGCTGCTGCTGTTCTTATGACTGAAAGTGCCAATTCACGGAGAAACATTTTTCAGTTTTACACTCGAACCTGCTGTGAATCAAGGGAAATGACGTCCAAAGACATTTGCAGTGTCAAAGTTAGCCATATGTGCACACAAAAGGATTTAAATCCAATTACCACCGCCACCAAAATCTACAATACCTAGCTGGTGTGGGAGTATAGGACAGCTTCCCCAAGGAGTTTTCCCAGTAAATCGTCTTTCTATACGACAATACAATCTACCAGAACTAGGGGGAGTCAGCTGAGTCTAGAACAATATGGAACATAACGCAGTGTAATGTAGTAAATTAAACCTTTTACCCGTGATTTAATTGAACTCACAAGATAAAGATGTTTGAAAACATCCAGGGTGCCTCTCCTAAAGTTGGGGGGCTGAAAACTCTTTGAAATTCTCCCTGGTAGTGCGTAGCAGTATGACAGGAGGAAAGACAGGAACTTTAGTGGAATCGACAGCAGAAAAGTGTCTTTATTAATTAAATAAATAAATAAAGCAAAACAATGATCCAACGTGTTTCTTCCCGATTCGGGACTTTTTTAGTTACCAATACTTAAAATCAGCATAAAAACAAACAGCCATAACCCTCCCTGCCAAGTCCCGCTTTAAATTCACCTCTCTTCATCCGCATTGGTCCTCCTGGGGGTGCATGAGTTCCCTCCCATCTCATCCCAAATGAATCCTATAATGGAGAGTCGGAGATCATTGGGTGTTTCCTTCCAGGTTCGCTAAGATTCCAGGACGTCTGTGTTCCATGTCACGATGTCTGTGCTTGGGTTCCATATGTGTTCCATTGCAAAAAGGACTTAACCATATGTTTAACAACAAAAATGGGGGGAAAAAAACAAGAAAAAAACAGAAACGAGCAATTGATCTCTAGGGGGATATATTTATATGTTAGATCATATGCTAGAAGAAGTATGGAAGTATGTCTCATGTCACATTAAAGGGACTCTCCAGTGCCACTCCCTCCCACCCCGCATCCCAAGTAGCTGAAGGGGTTTATACCCCTTCAGTGACTTACCAGAGTCCAGCGCCAATGTCCCTGGGCGCTGGTCCAGGCTCCGCCCACGCTCCTCCCCCGCCCACCTCATCCGGCGGGGGAGACCATTTGTGCATGCGCGGCGCTGGCGGGGTGAGACCTAATGCGCATGCACATTAGATCTCCCCATAGGAAAGAAATGAAAAATGGTTTCAATGCTTCCCTATGGGGATTTTAGCGTCGCCGGAGTTCGTCACATAGTGTGAGGACGTCCAGCGACGCTATAGCACAGAAAATCTGTGCTATGAACCAGGAAGTGCCCTCTAGTGGCTTATGAAAACTGCAACATTTACAGTTGCAGGGTTAAGGGTAGTGGGAGTTGGCACCCAGACCACTCCAATGGGCAGAAGTGGTCTGTGTGCCTGGAGTGTCCCTTTAAATGAAAAGTGCAATTATAAACCGGATAAGAATATTTACTCCAGATGCATACTGTGGATGTCAGGGTTCTGGCGTCTCCTTATAAAGTGCTAAATGGAGAATCATATCAGTAAATCTCCTCTTGTCGTGACTTCAATATGTGCACATTTATCTATAGCTCCACAAATCATGAAGGTGATAACTCTGAATATAATATACCCTATATCTAAAGTAGATATAATATATCTCTCATGGTAATAAAACATTTATTTTCTAATTATTTTCTCTCTTTTCTTTTAAAGGTTAATATGAAGGAGAATGAGGGGAAAATGAGAGAAAGGGAAGAATAAAAAGCAAGTTCTATTAAATCAATTTACTGTATTCCACTATGTTAAGTTCTACATTTACTGTATTCCAATTCCACTACGTTATGTTCTATCTTGTTACAGGCTCATTCCTGTATTCCCCATATTGTGGGAGATAGTATTATCAAAACAATTAAATTGTATTTCTACAAGAGGAAATAATGTAGCCAAACCACTGATGTGTTTAAAAGCAAACTCTCTGTATACATTCAAACATAAACATAAACGCAGCTAGCAATATTAAAGATGCAGACTATGTAGTTTATAGAGTGTAAGCTCACTGGAACAGAGCCTTCTTCACCCCTTCCCCTTTCTATGATTGTACAGCGATGTGGCATATGATGGCGCTATATACATGCTAGACTTAATATTAAAATAGAAAAATCCCATTAAAGGACACTGCCACCTCCTGGATCGCCATCGTCAGCTCACTGTACCACAGTAGTGAGTGCACTCAAATAGTCACGTTACGAGGATAATCTTGCCCATACGAAGGAACATCTTCTCAAACTCTTATTAAAGTGACGCAGAGGAGACACAGACACAAGGATTATCACAATTTGAACAGAACATTAGTAGTTTAGAAACATACAGGTTTATTCACTTAAGCGAGGATTTAAAGAGAATTTAAAGGGAATAGCACTTTTAAGACCAAAGTAGCTGATCTGGCAGCATAGCAGACTTGGAGAATGTTTGCAGTTTGGCTATTTCTACCTTGATTTTGAAATTCTCTTTGAATTCTCACATTAGTCAATAACTCTGGCATTCTTATTTAATCAGTGCCGGCTTCATGCTTTGTAGAGAGTTCGTACAGAAAAGGATCCAGTAAGTGGTGCTGTGGTTTGGATGAATTATTTTAAAGACTGAAGCTCAAATGGTAGTTAGTCGCATGGCTGTATGTTAAATTGAAATAAATCACACAGATAATCCAAGTGATGTGTCCGGCGATTCCTATTCCCAGAGCCGCCATATTCAGTTTAAACGCCATGCGTGAATCGATCGCCGCTGAAAACATGTCTCCGTGTCTCAGCGAGTCTCGTGACTAAGAAAGAAAAAGGAAACATGGCTATTGTCTGGCTAAATTATTACATGGTTAATTTACTAAACTCCATATTGTGATAAATCGAAATCTGAATCAAATCTTGCAAAATGCTCCAACTCAACCGTAATCTCGTCCTGACTATTGTAACCTAACCTGCGAGCTTTTAATCACTACAGCTCACTGCTTAGTGCATCAACCCTTTGATATGTTTCAGGATAACCTTAGAAGAAATGTATTAATTAAGGGATTGCAATTTTGGGGTAAAATAATAACTTTTAGTAAATCGCCATATTTTTTTCAGCTTTATTTATTTAAAGTCGGAAGTTAGGATGCATTAAGGGATGTAAGTTCTGAGTTGCTTTGTAAGAGAGAGATGTTGAGAGCCCCCACTCCCTCCGGTCTACGTGGATACTGGGGACTTGGTTATTCTACTTATTAACCGTTAATAAGGTAAGTTTAAAAATGATTGAGATTTCAGGCGTTGGATTAATCTCTGTAATTTGTCTGTATGGAGATATTGATTGGGGATATTGATCTATTTAGACTGGAACCCATTTTACCTTGCAAGAGTAGATAACTGCGGCAACTCCGAGAGGCAGAAAGCACAGGATGAGGCTCACAATGGACAGGCACAGGTAGTCATTGTGGGCCGGTTGAGGGATGACCATCACATTGGGTTGGGTTGTCACTATAGGTGTCCCATCTGGCTGAGTGGCATAGCTTACCATGGGCTGCCCATTTGGGTACAGAGCTGGGTTTATGTTGTAACCAGGCTGAATCGGAGGTGCCCATTGATAATCCATGTTGTAGGAATATGGAGGGGGGTATATGCTCCCACTGTCTGCCTTCATTCTTTATCTCTCCCCGGATAAGCAAAGTCTTTCTGCAGGCACTAGGAGATCACCTCCATAAAGGCTTCCCCCTATTTAACCTGTGCCGAAGCTAGCCCAACATAATACTTCTTAGCCAACGTCACCAGAGTCACTCCCAAAGCAAATACTGGGGGTTTAAATGAACATGTTCCCTTAGGAAGACTCTAAAGAGCTCTTTCAAAAGAATGTTGAATTATTGCATTTCTGTTGTCAGAAAATGACTATATCATTAATTAATCTGTGTGATTGTGTACACTTAGAGGCTAAAGAAACCATTCAGAAAATCAAATATCACATGTCAATGCTGTAATCCCGTGACATAGTAACATAGCATTAGCGAAACAAAACATACGCATTTTATCGATCCAAAAGAAAGCACTGGAAGAAATTCGATATCTTAAAGTGTAGCCTCACTAGGAAGGGGACTCCCTATTTTTATGGATCTAACTAACTCATTAACTTTTGGGGACTCTCATTTTTTTGCAAATACCACCCAAGATGATGTGTTAGCTTTCATGGTGATACCCGAGAGGACAATCTCTCATCTACATGTTGCCATTTGCTTCTATGTCCTGAATCTCATGTCGCACTTTTATACTCGGCACAAGTGCAAGAGACCCTACCAGATATCTATGGAAGATCCTGCAAGCTTCCCCAAACTCCAGCCCTCCAGATGTTGCTGAACTACAACTCCCATGATTCTATGAATGAAATAGGCTGAGAATCATGGGAGTTGTAGTTCAGCAACATCCGGAGGGCCGAAGTTTGGGGAAGCCTGCTGTAGAATGTTCCATAGATAATCGTGAGAATGCTTAATAAAAATCGATAAGTATGTACTGTATGTAACACAAAAATAGATTTATTCCTATCAGCCATCATGAGCCGCGGCAGATGAGAAATGGCAAGATGTAGAGAAATAAAATATGGGACGTTTTATACTGGGTGTTGTTTTGTTGCTAGAAGGAAGTATTGTTTTATAAATACTGTGACGGATGTCTTTCTCCATCTTACAAGCTGTCATTCAGGTAAAGCTTATTCCTCAACATTTCCAACCTTTGTAAACCTCAAAATAAAATATAATTTTTAATATAATATTTTATTTAAGAGATGGAATTCTTAGTGTAAATCTTACCCGCTAGGTTCCTGTATTGTAGTAAGCCATCTACGGCTGGTGAAATTTGCATCCTATCATACTTTCTTGGTTCTGTCTGACCCGATGTACATTAGACTTTACATGAGAGTTACACCTGAGAGCGCTACATGTTGTTTAGATGCAGTTGCCATGTTCGAAAAACATATGCGCCTTTGCATGATACACCATGAGAAATCCATGAATTTTTACTAAGAGTTTTTTGATTGTAATGTCCATGACGTTAACACGGGAATTGCATGGATTCTGTTAGCTCCAGAATTGTAGCAGAGAGAAACCTCCTCAGTATGGATATTATCATGATCACAGAGCTTATTTTTAATATTATCTATGATTAATATTATCTCCCCTCCTGTGCCCTTCTTTAATCCAAATTTATTTTGGTCAGAGTCAGACAGTGTTTGAACAGACAGTTAGTCTCTATGGTCTTTCTTGCTTTACTCTTTGCAAAGAAACATGGAAGACCATAGAGACTAGCTGTCAGTTACCGAACGTTGGCTGACACAAGGTGTGTGTATATGGCTGAAGGATCATGTCATACACCAAAAGTAGGGAGAGCATTTTCTCTCTTTTTCTTTTTTTTTACATATACTTTATTTAAAATAAAATAAAAAAGCTCCTTTTGAAGTTGATGAAAGGATTTGAGGTGACAGTTGTCCTTTGTGTGTAATATTGCCGAACTCAAACAATAACTATTAACACGGCCATTACAGTAACATACAGGGGAGAGATAGACTTTTGCAGAACAACACGGTTTTAGCAACACGTTTGGCTGCATGCATTTTATTGTCATTGCATTGTGAGTGCTGCTGTTAATTATAGTTGTTATAATAACCATAACCACTATAGTAGTGGGAGTAACCGTAAGGGTATGTCACTGTAGTATAAATCACATATGCGATCCAAGCAAGGTTGCCAGCGATTCCCAGTCCCAGAGACACCATGTTTAGTTTAAACGCTGTGCGCGAATCACTTGCTGCTGAAATCATGTCACCACGTCTCAGTGATTCCCGCACCTGAGAGAATAAAAAAAGGCGTGTTACTGATTATAGTTATGTTTGGTATTAGTCAACGCGGCATGCTTTACAGTAATGCAGAATAATTAGATGCACACAGAACTAGTGAGCAGAGCCTAGGGATGAGCGTAGGAGAACGTATTTTAAATATGAAATTATGTCACTAATCACATTCTTATTTATCATTTGTTCATTCATTTTTATGTGAAATTAGCAATTTTATAGCGTGAAATCTAACTGAAATAGTAGAACTGTCAAGCGCAATATGTGACATAAAATAAATGCAAATACTGGTAGTCCTTTCTTATGGTTATAAGTAAGTACTCTAATCATGCAGCCTCTAAACTTCACACTGGCTGGTTTCCTTGTTTATTAGAAAAATTGCTGACAATAAATATCATTAAAGGGGCACTCCACTGCCCAAACAGAGAAACAAACTCACCTTTAAGTAGATATACCCACAATGAGACATGCTTGCATTTAATTCTAAATTTCCTGGCTAATCACTTATGGGTTTGCTCCACCCAGTGAGGGGGGTCGGGGGGGCGCTCCGCCCCGGGTGCCACTCAGTAGGGGGGTGCCAGGTTCTGTACCTCCTGCTGTCCTGCATCTCCGGCAGTGTACCAGCAGTGAGGGCAGAGCCAGGTTGCTCCCCCGCAGTCACTTTGTACATGTAGAGGATCAGCTCTGTAGATTCCCTGCACCTGCTGCCTGCCTGGGAAGGAGCTGCTGCCCCTGCACCCTCCTAAATGGTAAGGAACTATAATATCTCCCTGCCCTATACCCCACCCCCCACTGCCATTATAACCCCTGCCATTATACCCCATCTCCCACTGCCATTATAACCCCCTGCCCTATACCCAGGGGCGTATTAGCCACGAGGCAAACAAGGCATTTGCCTTGGGCGGCATTTTTCAGGGGGCGGCAAAAAACGCCGCCCCCCAAATGCCCAGGGCAAATGCCTAGTTAGCCTCGCGGCTAACTGACATCCCGAGCGGGCGGCGCTGACAGGCGGGCGGCGAGGGAGCTCTTCCTATGAGCTGACTGCTCAGCTCCCTCGCGTGCCGCAGAGTGAGCCTGGGAGCCGGAAGATGACGTCATCTTCCGGCTCCCAGCCTCACTCTGTAGCCGGCGCGCGAGGGAGCTGAGCAGTCAGCTCATAGGAAGAGCTCCCTCGCCGCCCGCCTGTCAGCGCCGCCCGACCTGCAGCCATTGGACCACCAGGGAGAGAGACCCCCCCCCAGCACTCCCAAAGGTAAGGAGGTTGGGGGGGGATTTAAATTAAAAAAAAAAGGTAATGTGTGTGTGTGTGTCTGACTGTGTGTGTTTGTGTCTGACTGTGTTTGTGAGTGTGTTTGTGTCTGACTGTGTTTGTGTCTGTGTTTGTGTCTGAGTGTGTGTGTGTTTGTGTCTGACTGTGTTTGTGTATGTGTCTGACTGTGTGTGTGTTTGTGTATGTGTTTGTGACTGTGTGTGTGTTTGTGTTTGTGTCTGACTGTGTTTGTGTATGTGTCTGACTGTGTGTGTGTTTGTGACTGTGTGTGTTTGTGTTTGACTGTGTTTGTGTCTGACTGTGTGTTTGTGAGTGTGTGTGTCTCTGACTGTGTGTGTGTGTCTGACTGACTGTGTTTGTGAGTGTGTGTGTGTGTGTGTGTCTGACTGTGTTTGTGTATGTGTCTGACTGTGTGTGTATGTGTTTGTGTGTGTGTCTGACTGCGTGTGTCTGACTGTGTGTGTTTGTGTCTGACTGTGTTTGTGTCTGTGTATGTGTCTGACTGTGTGTTTGTGTCTGTGTATGTGTCTGACTGTGTGTGTGTGTTTGTGTCTGTGTGTGTGTGTGTGTGTGTGTATGTGTCTGACTGTGTGTGTATTTAGAAGGTGGGGCTGGGGAAGGGTTGGGTGGGGGTGGCACGGGGGCAGGGGGGCGCCTGAGTTTTGTCCTGCCTATGGCAGCACAAAACCAGGATACACCACTGCCTATACCCCACCCCCCACTGCCATTATACCCCACCCCCCACTGCCATTATATCACCCCCCACCATCGCTGCCATTATAACCCCCCTGCCCTATACCCCACCCCCAACTGCCATTATAACCACCACCTACCATTATACTACCACCCTCCCTGCCATTATATCACCCCCCACCAGGGCCGGACTGGGAAAAAAATTAGGCCTGGGCATTTTTCAATCAGAGTGGCCCCTGAAGTAGGGGGCGGGGCTAGAGACAAACAAAGATACAAAGTGAGCATGTTGGTTCAATGCCCAGAGCCCCGCTGAAGATGTTCTGCGCAGTGCAAGCAAATGTAATAACATGCTTGCGCTGTGTTTGCTTTTAAATTGTCTCTGGTGTCTCCACAAGTGGGATACCAGAGGTCAAAAGGGCCAGGAAAGTGTATGGTGCATGTGTTTGGCGCCTGCTTGTGGGATTGCGTGTGTGTGTAGAGTGTGGTGTGGTTTTGTGTAAATAGGTCAATTTAATTTGTGTTTGTGGTGTAATATGTGTGGCTAGGTGCAGTGTGTAGGAGATCTAGTGTGTAAAGGACTCATATAGGTAAGGGATCTAGCATGTATGTGTTTGGGTGCTGTCTCTCTGAGGGAGCAGTGTGTGTGTGTCTGAGGGTGCTGTGTGTGTGTGTGTCTGAGGGTGCTGTGTGTCTGGGTGCGCTGTGTGTGTCTGAGTGCTGTGTGTGTCTGGGTGCTGTGTGTGTCTGAGTGCTGTGTGTGTCTGGGTGCTGTGTGTGTCTGAGTGCTGCGTGTGTATCTGGGTGCTGTGTGTGTCTGAGGGTGCTGTGTGTGTCTGGGTGCTGTGTGTGTCTGGGGGTGCTGTGTGTATCTGGGTGCTGTGTGTGTCTGAGGGTGCTGTGTGTGTCTGGGTGCTGTGTGTGTCTGGGTGCTGTGTGTGTCTGGGGGTGCTGTGTGTATCTGGGTGCTGTGTGTATCTGGGTGCTGTGTGTGTCTGAGGGTGCTGCGTGTGTCTGGGTGCTGTGTGTGTCTGACGGTGCTGTGTGTGTCTGACGGTGCTGTGTGTGTCTGGGTGCTGTGTGTGTCTGGGTGCTGTGTGTTTGGGTGCTGTACAAGAACTGTTCCCCTACTGTCACATAGACACATTACACGCAGGCTCACATTCACAAATTACACATGCAGTCACACACAATGCACATACATACGCTGTCACAAACACATTGTGCGCGTCCTGCAGTGAACCGGCAGCTGGGATAAGATGTCATCCTGGCTACTACTGGGAGCACAAGTGAGCTGTGCAGGAAGAGCACCCAGCCCAGCAGCAACCGCTAATCACCATGGGGAAGATCCAAGAGCAAGGTAGGGAAGCTGGGTGGACCTCTTAATTACTAAATGTGTGTAAGAATGTGATTTTTGTGTGTGTCTGTGATTGTGTGTATCTCTGTCGTTAAGTGTGTGTTTATAGTGATTGTGTTGTCTGTGATTAGGTGTATATCTGTGATTGTGTGTGTATTTATATACACACACAACCACAGATGTACAAGTCTGTGTGTATATATCTGTGGTTGTGTGTGTGTATATAAATGTGTATGTGTTTAGTAGATAGCTCCCTTATTTGGTGTCCTTAAATATGTCAATCCCACATAAGGATAACAAATAAGGGAGTTATCTACTAAACAGCTGAAAGATTAATGCTCTAGGTACGCCCCTGGCTCCGCCCCCAACAAGAACAGGACAGGAAACAGTTAACTAATTAGAACCAATCTGTAGGCATAAAAGGTCCCTCCTCCCTCTATCCCACACAGAGCTGGATTAATATAGGGGCTGATGGAGCTGCGGCTCCAGGCCCATGATATAGGCCCATTAAAAAAAATAAAGATGGCTGGTGTTTTACTGGCACAGCCGGCATTTGAGGCTCCCTCGCCGTGCAAGTATGGCAGTAATACCGGCAATACAAATGCAGATATTTTTCTCACAAAAAGCAAGGGTGGAACAGCGCTACAATAACTGATCACAAGGGGGCTGCACACCTGAAAAGGAAGGTAACCCTCAAAACCTTCAAGGATAAATAGAACAAATAGAACAAATGATACAGGTAGCACCAAAATAAATACAATATTGTGGTAAGTAATTAAGTAAAGGTACCAAGTAGAATATAAAAATGTCCTTTTGAGGTTTTAAAAGTGTTCAAATGTTGAATAAGATGTCTCCGGAGTGGTATCACACATCAATGGCATATGCAAAAGAGAGAATAGGAGACCAATAGTGTATAGTATTGTAAGTCTATAGACAAAGTAGAACTAAAAATTGCCAACTCACGTTTTTCAGAGCTATAACCAGCTCTCTGTAAAACAGCTTAAAGTGGTATTTCATCTTCCCACTTGTAGGATATCCCTCATACGGTAGTTGTAGTGTAGTTTACATGCAAGAAAAAGAAGGCCCATAGTGCTCTCCATATTTGCAAATAAGTAGTAGTAAAATAAAATATACTTACAATTTTGAGAGCAGACAAACCGCTCTATGGTAACAGCGGGAGTGGAACAATCCCCACCTAGGATACTTTTGATGATGAACCTGACGTGTATGGAAAATAGGTTGCGCCAGGTAAAAATAAAAAACTAAATAAAAGTATAAAAGACTGCCCAAAGCAAATAGGTAGCCTAAAAAGCTTCCTTTTATTTAAACAAATAATAATATAATCACAACGCTTTTCACCCTATTAGGCTTCTTCAAGTGAGATATTTTTCTCAGTGTGGCGGAACCAACCTCACCACTGGCCACTGGAGGAGCCTGGTCGCCCGCCTCCTGCCACTGGACTATGGCACCATGTGTAACACTGTTCTTTTTCCCTGCAGAAAGGCTGGTTCGTGCCTTTCTGTGGACTGTTAAAGTCACGAACACCGCTGAGCCACTGACCTCCCTTCTCCTACCTGCAGTCAATTATCCGAACACCGGTCCATTCGGTACTTTACTGTTAAAGCCATGCTACCCCAGATAGCTATGCCATGGAGCCCAGCCGTATACTAAAAGACTGTATGAAAGACTTTGGCTCCATGGCGATTGAACTGTATGTATGTGATCTGAGCGCCATTCAGTAATAATGTGCGCTCTGATCTAAGCTATCTGGGGATAGGTAGAATGTGTATGTTCTATGTGATGAATGTAACAGTATGTAATTTTATGTCTTTTATTGTCCTTTGTCTGCCATGTGGTTAATGGAGTTTTGCCTCTGTCCTTGGAGATAATAGGATTACTTCCCAATTATCTCCAGGACAGAGAGGAGGGATTGTGATGCATTGTGAGATTGTAAGCTTGTGATTGGTCAATGTCCAATATGTTTCCCAGTCTTCCATCTGGTCCCCTAGGGGAGTGTCCACCAGGTGGGAGACCTGCATAAAAGCCGGGCAGGTAGCCCCAGTAAATGAGTTCTGCTTGACCCTCAAACGAAGTGTCGTCTCATTCTTGGGGGGAATTGGATTGTATGCTGTTACAGTGCGACTACCTGGACTGTAAGCTGTTCGTATGGTTTTTGCTGTTTGGCTGTTTACAGCATTCGTGTGTTTCCTGTTCGGGAGTTTTGAGCATTCCCCTGGTTCTAGTTCGGGAGATTGGTGAATTCATGTGTTTGCAGTTCGGGAGATTGGTGATTGCAGTAGCTGTCTGTGCATCTGAAAAGGGGAATATCGCCTAAACGGTTTTTAACATCTTGTGTGCAAAACAGTCCGTTGAACACAGTATAAACGGAGATTACTCTGCAATACCAGCACCAGCCAGTAGGGTTCACTGTGTGTGGAGAGAGGCAGGGATAGGAAGTTACAGCATATCCCTCCCTGCCTCTCTCTACTCACTGATCCACGGGGGAGACGCTACACAGCACAGAGAGTCCAGACAGCAGCTCTACAGCTCAGGTAAGTGAGTGATGGGGGTACAGGCAACAGGGACACATGGAGACACAGAGACACTAGGGTACACTGGGATACCTGAGGTCACTGAGAAACATGGGGACGCTGAGACACATGGGGACGCTGAGACACATGGGGACGCTGAGACAAATGAGGACATTGAAGGACATTGGGACACAGAGACACTAGGGACACAGTGTCCCCATGTCCCCCCAGCCAGTGTCCCTAGTGTCTGTGTCCCATGGCTCCCAGTTTCCCCTAGTCTCCCAGTGTCCCCATGTCTCCCAGCCAGTGTCCTTAGTGTCTCAGTGTCCCCATGTCTGTGTCCCCATGTCTCCCAGCCAGTATCCATAGTGTCTGTGTCCCCATGCCTCCCAGTGTCCCTATGTCTCCCGGATATTATCCCTAGTGTGCCCATGTCTCTGTGTCCCTAGTGTTCCCATGTCTCCCAGTGTCCCCATGTCTCCCAGTGTCCCCATGTCTATATCCACAAGTGTCCCCATGTCTCCCAGTGTCCCCAAGTGTCTGTGTCCCCATGTCTCCCAGCCAGTGTCCCTAGTGTCTGTGTACCCATGTCTCCCATTGCCCCCGTGTCCCCTAGGGTCCCAGTGTCTGTGTTCCCATGTTTCTCAGTGTCCCTAGTGTTTCAGTGTCCCCATCTCTCCCAGTGTCCCCAAATGTCTGTGTCTCTATGTCTCACAGTGTCCCAATTTCTGTATCCACAAGTGCCCCGATGTGTCCCAGTGTCCCCAAGTGTCTCAGTGTCTCCAGGCCCATAATATATTATATTGGCCTCTTTCAGCCCAAGCAATCCATGAGAGGATTCTCCAAGAAAACACAAACATAAATACAAAAGATGCGTAAACTGCAATCAACTAGCACCAAGTGGAAGAAATCTTTGTAAAGAGTGTCTGACAAAAGCTGCTGAGGTAATGGATAAAAGAATCACCTGAAACAGATTTGAAGAAGTGGATTACAGAGGCAATAGCCGAAGGCTTCAAGTCCACAACAAGTAAGATGACCTCATCCAAACATGAGAAGAGACGATAATTCCACAGATTCAAGTGAAAATTCGGTCATAATGGAAGGTCTGTCAGATGAAGAGAAAGGTGAAGTAAACCATGCTTCAAGAACATTGGATTCTAAGGCAGTCGATAAACTAATAAACATCATAAGGGAGACTCCGAGATTCCCAGAGGAGAAATCAGAAATGAAAGAATCAGACAGATTTTGAAGATCTGAAAGCTAATAGGCCAACATTTCCTGTTCACTCTACCATAAAGGAAACATTTCCCAAGAATGGTAGAAACCAGAGAGAAAAGTAACTCTTAATAATAAAGCATTTATCCATATGGCTAAAAAGACCATACTACCTATTGACCCCAATGGCTTATCTGAGGGAGCCTATGTAAAAAAGACTGGATGCAAATCTTATCAAGTCATACCTAGCATTAGGATCTGCACTACATCCCGCAGTAGCTTTAACTACTTTGTCAAGAGCATTTAAAGTTTGGTTAGAAAACTTAGAAGAAGACATTGCTAAAGGAGTCCGGAGAGAACATCTTTTGGACAGACTAAAAGAATTGAAGTTGGCTACTGAATTTTGTTCTGAAGCCTCATTGGATGTCACTAGAATGGTGGCTAAAAGCATGGGCTTGTCAGTTGCAGCAAGAAGAGTGTTATGGTTACGCTACTGGGGGGCAGACTATGCCTCTAAAGCCTCCCTGTGTGCTCTCCCATTCCAAGGAGATTTTCTATTCCATAAAGTCCTGCATGAAGCTATTCATAAGGCAGCTGATGGGGGGAAAAAAAGCTTTTCTTCCACAAGGAAGAAAATATGGTTCTACCACATGGAAAGTTAAGAGGTACAGGGACCATTCCTTTCAAAAACGCAGAACATATAACTGGAGAAACTATCAGACACCTTCCAAATCATAAAAATACACAAAAATATAATTTATAATATATAATATATAAAATGTATGTATAAAAATAAATATAAAAAAATATATATGTGTATAAAACAGTCCCAATTGTATCAGAGATAGTATAGTCTTAGTTGCTGTTTTGGCTGGTAGAATATCTTCTCTGTTTGTAGTAGATCGTCTCATGACATAAAAGACACAATGAGAAAGGACCAATCGTGTAGAGTGTATAAGATAAAAATGAATTAAAATAGAAATAATACACTCACATTCGAATGAGCTATGGCCAGCTCAGGTGTAATAGGCATACAGCGTATTAATCCCCGCTTGTAGGATGTGTGGATGCTTGTCCTCCGAAGGGTGATGGTATCCAATTCTCAGGGAAAAAATATAAACAACATCTCTGATGACACGATGTAAAGATAGATTAAAATAAAATAAAATATACTCACAAATGGAGTGCAGGTCTGTCTGCACTTGAATGATAGTGTGGGTGGTATAATCCCCACTTTAGGATTAATAAAATGCCAGGAACGGGTAATAAAAGATATATAAAATAAGATTGTATAAAGGAATAATAATACAAAATTATTTATTTATATAAAACTTATGATATAAAAATATTATATAAAGACATAACTATGTAAGTTATTATCCATGTTTAAAACTAATTTTTCTTCTCTTTTGATCAGTGTATTTTTAATTTGTACAAGGAATAGCTCTGATTGGCTGTTGCTTGATTATGTCACTTTGGCGCCAATTTCAAATGATTGATGTACCTATATATATACTCCTTTATTGCCAGGTTTTAATGTTATACCAATTTGATAAAGCCCTAGTGGTGAAATGCGTTGTTGGTTTTATTATATTGTATATTTTATATAAATAAATAATTTTGTATTATTATTCCTTTATACAATCTTATTTTATATATCTTTTATTACCCGTTCCTGGCATTTTATTAATCCTAAAGTGGGGATTATACCACCCACGCTATCATTCGAGTGCAGACAGGCCTGCACTCCATTTGTGAGTATATTTTATTTTATTTTAATCTATCTTTACATCGTGTCATCAGAGAGCACTATTGGTTGTTTATATTTTTTCCCTGAGAATTGGATACCATCACCCTTCGGAGGACAAGCATCCACACATCCTACAAGCGGGATTAATACGCTGTATGCCTATTACACGTGAGCTGGCCATAGCTCATTCGAATGTGAGTGTATTATTTATATTTTAATTCATTTTTATCTTATACACTCTACACGATTGGTCCTTTCTCATTGTGTCTTTTATGTCACGAGACGATCTACTACAAACAGAGAAGATATTCTACCAGCCGAAACAGCAACTAAGACTATACTATCTCTGATACAATTGGAACTGTTTTATACACATATATATATTTTTTTATATATATTTTTATATATTTTTTTATATATACATTTTATATATTATATATTATAAATTATATTTTTATGTATTTTTATTATTTATTAGTTCTCTTGGCGCAGCCTTTCCTTGCTTTTGTTGTACACTCTTATAGTAGAGGGTTAGAGGGTGACCCTCTATTAGGCCGATGCCTATTATATTATTAACGCTAACCTACCTCCCTACTCTTTCTTGTACCTTCCAAATCATCTAGAAGAAGAGGATCACGTATTCCAAGTAAAAACTTCTGAACCTTTGCCGGCCCAGCCAGGAATAACATCTCTTCTATCCTGTCTGGGTCAGAAGTGTGACAGAGTCCTGGTTCCTATCGATTTTGGAAGAAGGATACAGGAGAGAATTCAAAACTTTTCCAACTAAAGATTTCTTTATCCAATCTCGTGTAGCAAAAGGAGAAAAAGAAAAGGCTATGAGGACCTGCATATCAAAACTTCTGGAAAACCAGTTATAGAAGAAGTCCCAAAAGAAGAAAAATCAAATGGCCACTATTCTACGGTTTTCCTTGCCCCAAAACCACAGAAGAAGTGGAGACTTATTCTGGATCTAAAAAAATCTAAATTCCAGAATAAAAAGAACGTTCAAGATGGAATCCATTTCCACTATCATACCAAACTTAAAAATGGGGGATTGGATGACTTCAATTGACTTGAAGGATGCATATCATCAGATCCTGATCAACAAATACCACCGCAAGTTCCTTCGGTTCTATGTGTTTGGAAGGCACTACCAGTTCAAAGGGCTTCCGTTTGGGTTAAGCTTGGCACCGTGGAGGTTTTCAAAGATCCTCATCGCTTTGGTTGCAGTTATCCAAAAGAAAGGGATAAAGATCTATCATTATCTGGACGACTTCTTGATTATAGGTCCATGTCAGATAGTAGCCCTTCACAGTCAGGTGACAGTATAACATCTACTAGAACATGGATGGAAGTTGAATATGGAAAAGAGTATGATGATACCTGCTCAGAGGATGATATTCCTAGGTGCAGCTATAGACACTACCATCGGGACAGTGAATTTGTCACCAGAAAGAATAGAGAGGATTCAAGTAAAGATCCCGAATCTTCACTACAAAGTACACATAACGGCAAGGGAATTTATGAGCCTATTGGGCTCTCTCACGTCCACCATAGGATTAGTCAAATTGCCACAATGGAACATGCGTCCAATTCAAGTGAAATTCTTACAAAATTTCAAGAAAAGAGAGTACAACTGGGAACAGATAATTCTTCTCACTCAGAAAACATTAGACGAGCCACACTATATGTACCCAAACCCTCCGGAGGTCTAGGTCTTCCCAATCTCACACACTACCTACATGCAGCCCACCTGACACAAATCCAGCATTGGCATCTTCCCCCTGCTCACAAACGATGGGTAGACCTAGAACATCTCATCTTTGGGAGAGATCACCCCTCCCAATACATGTGGCTCCAGAGACAACACAGACCACTGCCACCCCCCACCTCCCCGACTATCACCCACTCCCTGGATCTCTGGGACCGCCTCAGTGACAAATTTGACCTGTCCACAGGCCTATCACCCCTTTCCCCAATCCTCCGCAACAAACTATTCCCACCTGGCCTCACACCACAACACTATGCCCACTTTGAAGATCGCGACATAGTTAGGTTAGGACACCTCTACCCCAATGGCGAACTCCTGCAATACGCCGACATCCCCAACCCTGAAACCCTAACCACATTCGACTACTTCCGCTACCTCCAACTCCGGAGCTTCGCAGCAACGGATACGGTCCGCATGGCAGCCACCTCGTCACTGACCGGGTTCGAAAAAGATACCCTCCACTCACCATCGAGAAAGAGCCAAATATCATCCATCTACATAACACTGACCACACACCACACTCAGATAGCCCTCCCCTACATTATGGCATGGGAAAAAGATCTCGGACCCCCCGAGGACCCCACGGACTGGGCTGACATCTGGGCATCCATTAAATCTATCTCAATCTGCGTCACCCATCAAGAGCAGGCATACAAAATGCTCTTCAGATGGTACCTCACACCCTGCCGTTTAAAGGCTATGAAACAAAGCCCCACTAACCTATGTTGGAAATTGTGTGGCGAAACCGGCACGTTCCTCCATTGCTGGTGGACATGCCCAAAACTCACCCCCCTATGGGAAAAAATCACGACTCTCCTAACCAGAATACTAGACAAACCGGTCCCCCTGGACCCATGGGCTCTACTACTATCCAAACCCTTAGACATCCTCACCCGTAACGAGAACAAACTCATAGCGCGAGTGGCCTTAGCCACACGAAGAGCAATTGCGGAAAATTGGTCTACGCAACGTATACCCACTCACACCCAAATATACACGAAAATCACTGACAGCATAGATATGGACAGACTAACAGCGCAACTGCACGACACCCCAAAATCATTCCACAAAGTTTGGGACCCATGGATAGAAGGACACAGTGACCTTCCATGGTGAGCTGAGAAAACACTCAAATAACGCCATTAATGCACAACGAGAATGACGATAGTCACCCGCGCAGCCACCCCCAACCCCACCTGACCCATCTGGTACTCGGGAGGTCACCCAAGGGGGCAGCAACATCCAACCCCTCTAAGTGATCTTTCCCTTCCCCTTCAAATACCTTCTCCCCCCCCCCAACCACCCAACAACCCTTCTGACTACAGCACCAGACTCCTATGCCTAGGTCTTCTGACTTAGCCGCAACCAAAGAGTACTCAAAGGCCGCACCACCTGAGAAAACAGATCCCCCTCCCTACCAAGAGAACTACCATCGACCCTTCTGGCTTGGCAAACCTACAAACTATATCACCTCTCCTCGTAGACATACTTCCAACCCGGACCAATATCCCCTCAGATAAACAGCGACCCCCCCGATGACATAAGTCCACTACCAAACGCCATGTAGGGTCACATTCACGACCTCACACTTACTAAGGCCCCCAAAGACAGACACAGTGCAAGCCTACAAGCTGCCGAGCCAGTTTATTGAGCAAACAAAGCAATGTCATACCATGTTGTCTTCAAACACATAACCAACCTCCTTTTTCTGTTAAAATATACACACGACTTTTGTATGTGAAATGTGCTAACTGTAAAATACAGAATCTCAAACTAGTGAACGGACAACAGGTCGACCACGGTAGGAAGGGTGCGACTCAATAACCAAGCCACCATTTGCCCACCCCTCATCCCTATCCTACCTTCCGTACTTTGTACCCCCGACCCACTGCCTACCCCCCCTCCCTGATCCTGGTCATGGAGACCTATTTGTATTCTCACACCTCCTTGGCAAATGTAAGATGAGTACTGTATGCAATATTGTACCCTATCCCCCTCCCTCTTCCTTTTTGTACCCCACCCCATCCTCAACACCAAACGATTGCAAAAGTTGATCTAACCATAGAATCTAGTTGTATACAAACAACATACGCTGTAACCAAAGATGTAATATCTGCATTCCTGCTCAAATTGTTTGACTGTCGCTTTGAGTACATGCCTGTTATACAAAGATTGTAACACAAACTTTAACCCCACTTTTTTTTTCTGTACCCCTTCCCCCAAAAAACAAAATCTTTACAAATAAAGAATTTTCAAAAAAAAAGAAAACATTAGACGACCTATCTTGGTGGATGAAAATAAAACACCTCTCTCTAGGCTTTACATTGGAAGAACCACCATGGAAGACAGTGACCACAGATGCAAATCTCCAAGGATGGGGTGCACATTTAGAAGAGAACTCAAATCTAAGAGAACTAAGAGCCATATACTATGCCCTTTTGGGATTTCAGCAGTGCCTAAAGAACTCTTGGGTAAAAATTCAAACAGACAACAGAGCTGTGGCGTCATATATAAATTGACAAGGTGGAACCCGAAGCAAAGCTCTCTTAATAGAAATAGTTCCGCTTATGGAATTTGCTCAAGACAAGATACAGGATCTGAAAGCAGTCTACCTCCCAGGACCTGAAAATGTTTTGACAGACTATCTGAGCAGAACTATGATACTAGCGGGAGAATGGAAATTGCATCCAGAAGTATTTCAAATGATATCGTTAAGGTGGGGCACGCCTCAGATGGACTTGATGACTTCGAACAGGCTCAAGTCCTGAAGTATTTTTCACTACAAGCGTACTATCGATCAGCCTTTTCCTGTTCCTGGGACTTCGATCTGGGGTATGCTTTCCCTCCCCTGCCTATGATTTACTGATTATTGAGGAAAGTTTGGAAAGAGGGGAAGATGGTTATTGCAATAATTCCAATTTGGCCAAGGAGACCTTGGTTCCCGATCCTGAACAGAATGAGCTTGAGTCCTCTGTGATGGACCGTTGGCACTCCAACCGAGTACCTCCGCCAATCGATGCTCCTAGTGCTTGCCGAGGACTCCGAGCACTCTAACTGACACCATCAGCACTACAGACCCCACTTCCAGCAATGCAGCTGTGCCGGGCTCTCGCCATCTTTCACCCACTCTGGACCCAAGGCCAGGATCCAGCTTCCAGTGGGTAGACCTCTCCTATATCCAGAGAGCAGGAACCAGGAACAAGCTCTTACAAGAGCTCATACTCAGGGGAGTATTGTGATATAGCAATCCCCAAGAGTGTAGTTATCCCATCCCCCAAGCATGAGCCAAGGTTTCAAGAAAGGGTTAAGTAGTTCTGGTTTATTGAGGGCTGCCTGCCCGGTATTTATCCAAGTGTCCACCAGGTGTACACTCCCCTAGGGCACCTGATGGAACAATGGGACACATATTGGATATTAGCCAATCACAGACAATACAAACAAAACACTCCCACAGTGACATCACAATCCCTCCTCTCTATCCTGGAGATAATTGGGAAGTAATCAAATGATCTCCCAGGACAGAGGCAAGACTCCATTAACCACATGGTTACAAAAAGACAAAAAATTACACAATGTTTCAATTACTACATAAAACATATACATGCAACATATCCCCAGATAGCTTAGAACTGAGCGCACATTACCGAATGGCGCTCAGATCACATACATACAGTTCAATTGCCATGGAGCCAAAGTCTTTTCCATAGTCTTTCATTACACAAATAGGCTCTGTGGCATAGCAATCTGGGGTAGCACTACTCACATACTGAAAGTCCCGAATCCCTCGGCAGAGATACACAAATAAACCTTTCTTCATCACATCCTCCATGGCCACTTCCTCAGAGACTGGATTTGTTGATCCAAGGTCCAGCAGTTCATCACAATCCAAACCAGTTGAATTTAGGGGCTTGGTTCTTGAGAAGCAGAGACTCTTAGAGCAAGGATTACCTGACTCGGTGGCTGAATGCTTTTGAAATCCAGAAGACGTGCTATCATAGAATATGGGATGTTTTTCAATTATGGTCAGAACAAAACTCCATAAACTTCCTGCATCCTACTAATATTAATGTTCTGAAATTTATACATGCAAGTCTGGAGAAGGGTTAAGCTTAAGCACATTAAAAGTACAGTCATCGGCTTTATCTGCACTGTGTAACACCTCATGGGCATCAGATCCTCTGATAGCGAGGTTCTTCAAGGCAGCTATATGTATAAGACCTCCATCCAGATATGGTGCTGGATGTTCTGTCAGACATCCCCTTTGCTCCTTTGGATGAGTTGGGTATCACTATTCTGACTCATAAAACATTGTTCTTAGTGGCAATCACCATTGCTAAAAGAATGTCTGAGATTCAAGCCTTCTCCAGTGATGTGAATCATATACAGTTCTTCCACGATGGAAGAATTACCTAGAGTGGAATTCCTACCTAAGGTGGTTTCACGATTCCACATTTCACAAGATGTTATCCTGCCTTTCTTTTATCCAAACCCTTCCTCCTCGGAAGAATTTAAGCTCTATCAATTGGATGTTAAGGAATGTCTGATGAAGTATCTGGAGGTCACTAATCAATTTCGGAAGTCACAACATTTATTAATTCTTCCATCTGGCTACAGAAAAGGTGAAGCTGCTTCTACCGCTACTTTGAGGCGTTAGATCTCAAACACCATAAAGAAGGCTTATCATGTTAAAAATCTCATTCAGAGAAAATAAAGACTAATTCGACTATTGCACTTGCTACCTCCTGGGCTACTTGGGCAGAGATGTCATCTGATGACATATGCAGGGCAGCCACCTGGTCTTCTCCTATGTCATTTATTAAACACTACAAGCTGGGTGTAGCTTCTTCATCTACTTCCTTTGGGAGAGGAGTTTTTTGTTCTCTGTTACTTCTCATGAATAAAATATTATTGCAGCAGACTAATAGTATCCATTTTTTTTCTCCCTCGCATTTGTCTTAGCTTGGGTATTACCCATAAGTGATGCTGCTATGATTAGCCAGGAATATAGAAAAATTTCTTCATACTTACCGTAATTTTCTTTTCCGGGCTATTATTCATGGCAGCATCAGCAACACTCCCATGTTTTTTGTTTTACAGATTTAAACTAGACTGTGGGATAGAGGGAGGAGGGACCTTTTTATTCCTACAGTCTGGTTCTAATTAGTTAATGGTTTCCTGTCCTGTTCCTATTAGGGGTGGAGCTAACCCATAAGGGATGCTGCCATGAATAATAGCCAGGAAAAGAAAATTACAGTAAGTATGGAGAAAATGTTCTATATTTTTCATTGTGGGTATATATAAAAACAGCTTGCTAGTTACATATCTCTTGCCTGCAGCCTTTACAAACCCTCCCCTTCTAGCCCCGCCCAGACTTTCTGTGGCCGTCCAATCACAGACTTCCCAATGCAGCTCAATAAGAAGTCTTTGTAAGACAGGTGCTCTGGGCAATTGCTGCCTCTTGAGTTTATCTCCACTGAGCTAACCAACCAGGAAGTAACAGCATCAGTTATCGGATTGACAGCCAGCCGGGGGGGGGTAACTAGGTCCATTTATAGGTCCTACCTTTCTATTGAAATCTACACTTTTTGTAAAATGAAATAAAGTGGACACACTCTTCACACATAAAGCACTTTAGTATGCTAAACTTCTTTATGGGTCTGGAATGTCTCTTTAAGAGCAACAGTTAGTACATCATTGTAGCTACAAAATGCTGGCAGGTGTTTTAGGTCCACCCCGTATGCAATTCATGTCTGTCCCCGCTAATTTCTACCACCAGTTATCTGGGAATAAGAAAATAAAATTAAAAGGAAAAAAAATCTACCAACAAGTGTGTCTCTTGCTAAGAGAGTTATAGAATTAGTGAAAAAAATAATAAAACTTAACTTTTAATATCATTAAATATAAAAATATATCTTATATAAATAAAGATAAGATAAACTCAAGCAAGAGGTTCAGTCCTTCCTGTAAATATAGTGCTCGGTAATGTGGCAACCCAGTAACAGTGTATATTACCGAAATAATGCTGAAAAACAAATATAATATTATTGAAACACAGTTAGACTGGAGTCAGAGCAGAAAGGCAGGGAAAAGAGATGTGCTGCTAGACCAGCTCCTATTTCAGTGAGAGTCCAATGTGCTCTTAAAAAAGCCCTCTCTGATACTAAGCCACCCACTACTGCTAAGAGTAGGAAAATGAAGGAAATAAGAGGATTGTTACAAGGACTGATTGTCCAACCAAAGGATGCTGTGACAGATTCATCTGTATTGCTGGTTCGTCTGTTACCCTTTGTTTTCGCTGGATTTCCTGTCCGTATGCCCCTGTTCGTGTGATTACAAAATACCGATTGAAACCACCCAGGAGAGGAGTGTGCTGCTGGTTAACCTCTTGGCCCCAATTAGAACGTTGTGGTTAACCGCAGACACCTCTCCATTCCATTCGTACGGGTGGTCGTCGTTCGCATGCCAACCATGAGGCGGCGGCCATTTTGGGACACGAGGAAGCGTAGCGGTGTTCGGTACAAATTCTATGGAACTAAAAACGGACACTTTAATCTACCGAACACCGCTGGGAGCTGCTTCCCACCTTCTATTTCGGCGAGGCGCACGAACGCCGGTCTGTTCGGGAGTTTTATACATTCGTATGGACCTTTACCCAGATAACCGTCCCATGGAGTCATTCGTATACCGAAGGACTGGTGAAAGACTTTGACTTCATGGCGATTCGCCTAGATACATCGGATCTGAGCGCTATTCGGTAGAAATATGCACTCAGATCCAGGCTGTCTGGGGATACGTTACACGAACTATATTCATTCAGTATTTCTTCAGTTATATATTTTAATGTATTTTTCTTGCTGTATTTTAAAATGGCGATTATCTCTATCCTGGGAGATAATTAGGTTTCTTCCTAATTATCTTCGGGGTAGAGAAGAAGGGTTTATGGGTAAGATGGGAAGGGCTTATATTGAAGCCACTGCGATTGGCTACTGTTCAATATGTTTTACAGTCTTCCACAAGGTCCCCTCGGGGAGTGTCCACCTTGTGGAGACCTGCATAAATACCGGGCAGGTAGCCCCCATTAAACAGATCCTTATTTGACCCTCAAGACGGAGCTTGGTCTCGTTTGTGTGGGGGAATTATTACTGGGACAGCGCTTTCGGTATTTTTAACTGTGGAAGGCGTTCGACTGTTTTGCTGATCGGGAGTTGCCGTGTTCGTGAACTTCGTTCGGGAGTTTGGCGGTCGGCTGGATAGAAACTGCATTGCTGGAGAGGGGGATTATTCACTAAACGGCGGCTTCATCTACCTGGCGGTGAGTGTCGTAACAATTGGTGGCAGCGGTGGGATGAATCCTACCGCCCAGAAGGCCAGCTACACATCCCAGGTTGGAAATGCAGTATGAAGAGTTAAGGCGTGCTACCCTTAAAGATATATTGGAACGCAGAGGACGATCAGCGAGTAATCTCAAGAAAAGAGAGATTATTGCCATATTATTGGAAATGGATGCAGCACAGGGAACGGGGAGAGCTGATGTACCTGGCATACTGGAGTTAACACCCGAGGAGATACAATTTAACCGGGCAGTCCAGATCAGGCTGGCACACTTTGGCCCCAACCCCGCAGCAGATATTGTGGTTCAAGTGCAAGCAGCAGTAGCAGCACAACAGGCGCTCCAGGGAAGAGGCGCTGCAGCAGCTGAGGTACCCTATAACAATAATGGAAGGAGGAAGGTACCCTTTGCTGCATTTAGAAATTTTGTAGAAGCCGAAGGAGAGATTGATGGGTTCCTGGCTGATTTTGAAAGGCAGTGTGCCTTACACCAGGTACCCGCAGAGGAATGGGTCACCATCCTCTCTGGAAAGTTATCCGGCCGGGCCAGTGAGGCGTTTCGGGCCATCCCAGAGGAGGAAATCACCAGCTACAGGGCAGTAAAAGATGCCCTTTTGGCCAGATACGCTGTAATCCCTGAGGCGTACCGGCGGCGATTCCGGGACACTAACAAACAAGCTGGCGATTCTTATGTGGAGTGGGCATGCCGAGTACACCGCACCGCAGCCCACTGGATGGCAGGGTGCCAAGCGGTAACTGGGGAAGAAGTGCTGCAACTGTTTTTGTTGGAGCACTGCTTTGATTCCTTACCTGCAGGAGTCAGAGAGTGGGTTAGGGACCGCAAACCCGCTACCTTATCCGAAGCTGCTCGTCTGGCTGATGAGTACACTGATGCACGGAAACTGGACCAGACAGCAACCAAGGTCCCTACCCGAGTGGAGTACAAACTAGCAGCCCCTCCAACCACTGCAGTGTATCAACACCCAGCGCAACGCACTCCCACAATGCCAACAGCGAACAATTATGTTCAGCCAGCCCGGTTCAACGCCCGGGATTACTCACAGCCTATCCGGTGCTATGGGTGTAAACAGTTGGGGCACAAGCGACCGGAGTGTCCATTGAACAATTCCAGCCAAGCCCAGTCGTGGAGAAGACCAGCCGGCGGAAATCAGCAGCCACCCCAACCTTCCGCTCACTGCCTTGAGCAGGAGGAATTTTGGGGTATACTACATGAGGCAGATCCGGTACAAGCAGCGCAGCAGGATAACCGACAACAGCACAGGCAGACCGTTAAACTAAATGGCAAAGCAGTAACTGGTCTGAGGGACACCAGAGCCACTATGACCTTGCTCCAAAAGAACCTTGTTTCAGAACACCAGCACACTGGAAATACTGTGGCAGTGAGGGTAGCGGGAGGTGCAGTGTTCCGTCTGCCGGTTGCCCGGGTTCATTTGGATTGGGGAGTGGGCTCTGGACATGTGAATGTGGGGGTCATGAAAGATTCCCCAGAGGAGTTTGGGAGGGAAACCCAGACAGATTTGACGCTCCAGAAGTATAGGGACAGGGCGGATACTGGAGAGGAAGGAGTAGATGGGGAACGGTATGAGTGGGTGGGGGACAGGTTGTATAGGATCCCTAAGCTTTCCCCGAAAAGTGTTGCCCCTCCGCCGAATCGACAGCTGGTGGTGCCCACAAAATACCGGCAGGAGATTCTGCGGATAGGGCATGATGTTCCGCTAGCTGGACATCTAGGTTCTCGCCGCACAGCCTATAGGATCATGCAGAACTTCTTTTGGCCAAACTTTAATCAGGCTGTGCGGGTATATTGTAGTACGTGTGACACATGTCAGCGGGTAGGAAAACGGGGGGACCACCCCAGAGCTAGGCTTATGTCTATGCCTATCATTGGGGAGCCCTTTGCCCGTATAGCCGTTGACATTGTGGGTCCACTGGCCAGGGCTAGTCCATCCGGTAAGAAATATATTCTCACCGTGGTGGATTATGCCACCCGCTATCCAGAGGCAGTAGCGCTGTCTAATATAGAGGCAGAGATAGTTGCTGATGCCCTGGTTAGGATTTTTACCAGAGTCGGGCTCCCTAAAGAGATTCTCTCGGACCAGGGAACCCAATTTACCGCTGTGCTCACCCAGCAACTGTGGAAGGTGTGCGGCATTAAACCGCTGCTTAGCTCACCTTACCATCCACAGACTAACGGTCTCTGCGAGCGATTTAACGGTACCCTCAAACAGATGCTGAGGACCTTTTCTGACACTTGCAGAGACTGGGAGCGATTCCTACCTCATCTGTTGTTTTCCTACAGAGAGGTGCCTCAGGAATCTACTGGGTTCTCCCCCTTTGAGTTGCTATATGGGAGAAGGGTCCGCGGACCCCTAGATCTCATTAGAGGCCACTGGGAGGGGGAGACAGAGCAGGAAGGGACCCCCATAGTGCCGTATGTTCTGGAACTTCGGGACCGCATGGAGAAACTGTCTCTAATGGTAAGGGAGAATCTCCAGGTGGCTCAGGGGAGACAGAAGAGATGGTGCGATCGGGGTGCCCGACAGCGAGTCTTGCAGGTTGGGCAGAAAGTGTTAGTGCTCAAACCTGTGAAGGCGAACAAGATGCAGGTATCTTGGCAGGGCCCGTATAAGGTGTTAGCGCAGGTATGTGATACTACCTACCTTATAGCCAGCTGATCGGATGAAAGGATCCAGCGATCCTTCCATGTGAACATGCTAAAGGAGTATCAGGAGAGACCGGAGAATGTCGCTGCAGTATGTGCCCCTGCTGCAGACGATACAAAAAGTTTACCCTTACCAGATTTGTTAGAGAGGGACTCCCAGACGGATCTTACTAGCCTGGTACAGCTAGGGGACAGATTGAGCTCCACCGAGAAGGACCAGGCAAGACAGCTTCTGTGGGAGAAGCAGGCGACGTTCTCCCAAGAACCTGGCTACACTACCCTAGCTGTACACATGGTAGAAACCCCTGGACAGAACCCTCTGCGACAACCCCCTTACCGTATCCCTGAAGCAGTCCGAGAAGGAATGCAGAAGGAGATACAGGAGATGACCCAGCTTGGGGTCATCGAACACTCTGATAGCCCTTGGGCTTCGCCTGTCATCCTGGTGCCTAAGAAAGATGGAACCACCCGGTTCTGTGTGAACTACAGGCGCCTCAATGAGCGGACCACCACTGACGCCTACCCGATGCCCCGGGTAGACGAATTGTTAGATCGCATTGCCAGGGGGCGCTTGTGACGAAGTGCCCTTCGCCACTTGTGCCTGGAGAGGACTGCTTGCCCGCCTCTTGCCCTGTGACTATGGCCCCTGGGATGTATTGCCCTTTAAAGACATGATTTGGGCATAATGGATTTGTGTTGTGCTGCTGCTGGCCCTTTAAGAACCATCTAGGGACATACTGTGGAGTTACTGGGTGGCCACCATTTCCTGTATCAGAAGCACATGGTGAGAACAATGGATGGCGGCCATTTTAACTCACAGACACTGTTTGGACTTTTCAACACGGTGCCATCTCGCCAGTATTTGATGCACAGAGACATCGTGCGGTGGTTTTGGACTATACAGCAGGGGACACATTATAAAGTGATTGTTTTTCATTTAGCCTGTATATGTTCTGCAAAATCTGCATTAAACTGTATCTTCCAAAGTACTGAACGGATCTGGGTGAATTTTGGATATGTGGTTCACCCAGATCCCCCGGTTCCAAGGATATACTTTTTATGGGGTTATTGCATGTTTTGGGGTCCCTGTGTTTTATGAAACTGTATTATTTCTGGCCAGCAGATAATTGAGCTTTGTGTATTGTAGAAACTCAATTATCTAGCCTGGCCCAGAGGAGGAGTTTTGTGTTGCATAAATTGTGAGTTTTGTGTGCCAGTAAATCAGTCTTGTTCCAGCATTAAGCCTTGGCTCATGTTTGGGGGAAGGGATACCTACACTCTGGGGATTGCTATAATCACTTACTCCCCAGAGGAAGCTCTTGCAATAGCTTGATTTGTTCCTGTTCCTGCTTTCTGGGGAAAGAGAGGTTCACCCACTGGAAGCTGGATCCTGGCCTTGGGTCCAGGGTGGGTGGAAACAGCAGAGACCCCGGCGCAATTGCATTGCTGGAAGTGGGGTCTGCAGTGCTGATGGTGTCGGTTGGAGTGCTTGGAGTCCTCAGCGAGCACTAGGAGCATCGATTGGCGGAGGTACTCAGTCGGAGTGCCAGCGTTCCGTCACAGCGCTATCTGACCACCATAGACCTGTGTAAAGGCTACTGGCAGATTCCCCTGGCCGAGGATGCTATCCCCAAGTCGGCCTTCGTCACCCCATTTGGCCTGTACCAATTCAAGGTCATGCCATTTGGGATGAAGAATGCCCCGGCTACCTTCCAGCGTATGGTGGATAGACTTCTTGATGGATTCCAGGAATTTGCTTGTGCATACCTGGATGACATTGCGATCTACAGTGGGTCCTGGGACCTGGTACATGTAGGGGTAGTACTGGACAAAATTCGGGCCGCTGGCCTGACATTGAAGCCAGAGAAGTGCCATTTAGGCATGGCTGAGGTGCAGTACCTGGGTCACAGAGTGGGGTGTGGGAGCCAGAGACCAGAGCCAGCCAAGATAGAGGCAGTAGCTAACTGGACCACACCTATCACTAAGACCCAGGTGTTAGCCTTCCTCCGGACAGCAGGGTACTATAGACGCTTTGTCCCCGACTACAGCACTATTGCTAAACCCCTGACTGACCTGACAAAGAAAAATCTCCCTAAGCAGGTCCTGTGGTCTCCAGCTTGTGAAGCTGCGTTTCAAGCACTCAAACAGGCTCTGGTGAATGCCCCTGTCCTGGCTGCCCCAGTCCCTAACAAACGTTTTCTCGTCCATACAGATGCTTCCATGTATGGACTGGGGGCTGTGCTGAGCTAGGTCGGGGAAGATGGAGGAGAGCACCCTGTCGCATATCTCAGTAGAAAGCTGTTACCCAGAGAAGTGAGTTATGCGGCAGTGGAGAAGGAATGTTTGGCCCTGGTGTGGGCATTGAAAAAATTAAGCCCTTACTTATATTGACAGGAATTCTCACTTGTGACAGACCACAATCCCCTTGTCTGGCTCAACCGGGTCTCGGGAGACAATGGCAGACTGCTGAGGTGGAGTTTAGCACTACAACCATATAACTTCACCATCAGCTACTGACCCGGTAAGCAGAACGGGAATGCAGATGGATTGTCCAGGCAAACCGACATTCTTACCACCTCTTAGTCCGGTCATCCCCACGTTGACCCGCCAAAGGGTCAAGCCGGGTCTGCCGGAGTGTCCCACAAGGGGGGAGCCGTGTGACAGATTCATCTGTATTGCTGGTTTGTCTGTTACCCTTTGTTTTTGCTGGATTTCCTGTCCGTATGCCCCTGTTCGTGTGATTACAAAATACCGATTGAAACTACCGAACGAACGACCACCCAGGAAAGGAGTGTGCTGCTGGTTAACCTCTTGGCCCCAATTAGAACGTTGTGGTTAACCGCAGACACCTCTCCATTCCATTCGTACGGGTGGTCGTCGTTCGCATGTCGACCACGAGGCAGCGGCCATTTTGGGACACGAGAAAGCGTAGCGGTGTTCGGTACAAATTCTATGGAACTAAAAACGGACACTTTAATCTACCGAACACCGCTGGAAGCTGCTGCCCACCTTCTATTTCAGCGAGGCGCACGAACGCCGGTCTGTTCGGGAGTTTTATACATTCGTATGGACCTTTACCCAGATAGCCGTCCCATGGAGTCATTCGTATACCGAAGGACTGGTGAAAGACTTTGACTTCATGGCGATTCGACTAGATACATCGGATCTGAGCGCTATTCGGTAGAAATATGCACTCAGATCCAGGCTGTCTGGGGATACGTTACACGAACTATATTCATTCGGTATTTCTTCAGTTATAATGTATTTTTATTACTGTATTTTAAAATGGCGATTGTCTCTATCCTGGGAGATAATTAGGTTTCTTCCTAATTATCTCCGGGGTAGAGAAGAAGGGTTTATGGGTAAGATGGGAAGGGCTTATATTGAAGCCACTGCGATTGGCTACTGTCTAATATGTTTTACAGTCTTCCACAAGGTCCCCTCGGGGAGTGTCCACCTTGTGGAGACCTGCATAAATACCGGGCAGGTAGCCCCCATTAAACAGATCCTTATTTGACCCTCAAGACGGAGCTTGGTCTCGTTTGTGGGGGGGAATTATTACTGGGACAGCGCTTTCGTTATTTTTAACTGTGGAAGGCGTTCGACTGTTTTGCTGATCGGGAGTTGCCGTGTTCGTGAACTTCGTTCGGGAGTTTGGCGGTCGGCTGGATAGAAACTGCATTTCTGGAGAGGGGGATTATTCACTAAACGGCGGCTTCATCTACCTGGCGGTGAGTGTCGTAACAGATGCCTTTTTTTGGAGTGAAAGTTTTGCCGTTGTGAGGTTCGCAGTAGTGATGTCCCGAACGGTTCGCCAAACGGTTCGCCACAGATGGCGAACATATGACCCTGTACCTCACAGTCAGCAGACACATTCCAGCCAATCAGCAGCAGACCCTCCCTCCCAGACCCTCCCGCCTCCTGGACAGCATCCATTTTGAAGCTGCATTCTTAGTGAGCTGTCCAGAAGGTGGGAGGGTCTGGGAGGGAGGGTCTGCTGCTGATTGGCTGGAATGTGTCTGCTGACTGTGAGGTACAGCGTCATATGTTCGCCGTCTGTGGCGAACCGTTCGGCGAACCGTTCGGGACATCACTAGTTCGCAGCAATTATTGCTGACACCTAAGATATGCCGAGTAAGCATCCTGAGCCCCTAGAAGGTGCTGTGTCAGAGAAGGCTTTTTTAAGAGGTGCCCATGAAGGCACATTAGACTCTCACTGAAATAGGAGCTGGTCTAGCAGCACCTCTCTTCTGCCTCCCTTTCTGCTCTGACTCCAGTCTAACTGTGTTTCAATAATATCTTTGTTTTTCAGCATTATTTCGGTGATATACACTGTTACTGGGTTGCCACATTACCGAGCACTATATTTACAGGAAGGACTGAACCTCTTGCTTGATTTTATCTTATCTTTATTTATATAAGAGTTATTTTATATTATTAAAGGAACACTATAGTCACCTAAATTACTTTAGCTAAATAAAGCAGTTTTAGTGTATAGATCATTCCCCTGCAATTTCACTGCTCAATTCACTGTCATTTAGGAGTTAAATCACTTTGTTTCTGTTTATGCAGCCCTAGCCACACCTCCCTGGCTATGATTGACAGAGCCTGCATGGAAAAAAAAACTGGTTTCACTTTCAAACAGATGTAATTTACCTTAAATAATTGTATCTCAATCTCTAAATTGAACTTTAATCACATACAGGAGGCTCTTGCGGGGTCTAGCAAGCTATTAACATAGCAGGGGATAAGAAAATCTTAATTAAATAGAACTTGCAATAAAAAAAGCCTAAATAGGGCTCTCTTTACAGGAAGTGTTTATGGAAGGCTGTGCAAGTCACATGCAGGGAGGTGTGACTAGGGTTCATAAACAAAGGGATTTAACTCCTAAAGGGCAGAGGATTGAGCAGTGAAGCTGCAGGGGCATGTTCTATACAACAAAACTGCTTTATTAAGCTAAAGTTGTTCAGGTGACTATAGTGTCCCTTTAATGATATTAAAAGTGAAGTTTTATTATTTTTTCACTAATTCTATAACTCTCTTAGTAAGAGACACACTTGTTGGTAGATTTTTTTTCTTTTTCTTTTCTTTTCTTATTCCTAGTTAACTATTTAGGGGTTATCTCCCCCTTCCCTCCCTGCCTCAGGGCTTGCAACCATTAAGTGTGTTACTGTTATTGGTTTATTCACTAAGCAGTGAATTCTAGTGAGTTGAAAACCTACATGCACATGTTAGACAGAGATAGCTGCGGTACAGCCTAGCTGCCCACTCTGCTCCTGTTCTGATTCACCTGTTCATCTACAGCATCTTTATTCCAGATTCCATGAGGGACCTCAAGCTTATCCAGAACCAAAATAAACCCAGAGCCCCATTTACCTTGCAAGAGAAGACTGTAGCAGCAATTCCGATGGGTAAACAGCACAGGATCAGGTTCATGATGGACAGTCCCAGATAATCCCTGTAGCTCGGCTGAGGAATGACCATCACGTTGTGCTGCGTGGTGACTATAGTTGGCATTGGCACAGGCACTTGGGGGATAGAGCCTACCATGGGCTGTCCATATTGGAATGGTGGAGAATTATTGTTATAGCCAGTTGGAAAGGCTGCTCCTTGGTAATTGACGTTGGAAGGATATGGGTATGAATTTGGGTAACCACTGTCTGCCATCGTTGGATGGAAAGTTCTCTTTCACCTTCAAAGTTTTACGAAGTCTCTCTGTAAATACGTTCTCACTTCGTTTTCCCTGTATGACCCCCTGTGATGGATTTCAAGCCCTTTTAAAGTATTCCAGATTGTGAAATACCTAACATTGTCAACCAGGCAGAAGGAAATAGAAAACATTTAATTGTTCATCATGAATGGACTTGTCAAAAGTGTCTGATCCTTTTCAGATAATTAAAGGTTACGAACAATAAATAGACCCACAACATCTATCAGTGTTTATGCAAAATACTTTCCACCAAAGTGTGGATTGTTCAGAGAGTGAAGGAAACCAGATACATTGAACCCAACACTGCATCGTAACTTTCTGATCATCCGTAAAAGGAGCGGTCACCTCCCAGGGTTTTGCACCATTGAATAAAACACTGAAAATTACCTATAAATTAGATATACGCCCCCGGATTTTTCAGTTTGTGTCGGTATTTTTATTTTGAAATTTAGAATACAGTGCAATACCGGCGCTGTTTGTGGAGAGAGGCAGGGATAGGAAGCAAGCTACATCTTATCCTTGCTTCTCTCTCCTGACTGAATCCGCAGGGGAGCAGCACATGCAGCCAGCAACACTCAGACTGCAGAGACAGCCTAGAGATCAGTTAAGTGAGGGATGGGGAGGTAGCCTATAGATCAGGTTAGTGAGGGTTGGGGGGGCAGCCTACAGATCAGGTAAGTGAGAGATGAGGGGCAGACTACAGATCAGCTAAGTGAGGGATGGGGGGAAGACTACAGATCAGCTAAGTGAGGGATGGGGGGCAGACTACAGTACAGGTAAGGGATGGGGGGCAGACCATAGATCAGGTAAGTGAGGGGTAGGGCAGCCCACAGATCAGGTAAGTGAGAGATGGGGGCAGCCTACAGATCAGGGAAGTGAGGGGGGGGCGCCTACAGATCAAGTAAGTGAGGCGGGGCTCCACAGATCAGGTAAGTGAGAGATGGGGTGCAGCCCACAGATCAGGTAAGTGAGGGATGGGGGGCAGCCTACAGATCAGGTAAGTGAGAGATGGTGGGAAGCCTACAGATCAGGTAAGTTAGAGATGGGGGATCCACCTACAGATCAGGTAAGTGAGGGATGGGTGTGGGACAGCCTATAGATCAGGTAAATGAGGGATTGGGTGGCAGCCTACAGCAAGGAGCAGAAAGGCGCAGTAAGGAGTTGGAAGGGGCAGAAGAGCACAATGGTAAAGTAGGAGAAGGTGCAGGAAGGAGCAAAAAAGGGTCAGCAAGGAGCTGGAAAGGGAGGCAAGTAGCAGGAAGGAACTGAAGGAGCACAAAAGTAAAGTAGGAGAAGGAACAGGGAGGGTCAGCAAGGAGCAGAAATGAGAAGGAACAGAAATGAGCAGGAAGGGACATCAAGGAGCAGAAAGGGTCAGCAATGAGCTGGAAGGGTCAGCAAAAAGGAGCAAGGAGCTGGAAGGGTCTGAAAGGAGCAGGAAGGGACAAAATGAGCACAAAGGTAAAGGAGCAGAAAGAATCCGAAGGAGCACAAAGGTAAAGCAGGAGAAGGACCAGAAAAGGGTAGCAAGGAGCTGGAAGGGGCAAAAGGAGCGCAAAGGTAAAGTAGAAGAAGGAGTAGAAAGGAACAGGAAGGGACAGCAAGGAGCACAAAGGTAAAGTAGGAGTAGGAGCAGAAAGGGTCTGCAAAGAGCAGAAAGGAATCAGAAAGAGAAAGGAGCAGAAAGGTAAAGGAACAGAAGGAGCCAAGGAGGAGAGAAGACAGTGTCAGAAGAAAAAGAAGACTGTGTCAAATGAAGGAGAAGAAAATTAGATTGGAGCAGGAAGGATAAGTGAAGTGATCCCTCCACTTCATTCTGGACACCACATCATAAGGCATAAGTACCTGGGCCTGGCAGGGAAACTTTGGACCTTCTCATCTCCCCAGGTAAAAAAAATCTCAGTGTTAATGTGTTCACTTTTATTTACTGAGTGTCAGGAAGCACAGAGTGCCGCTGGGGAGGGGTGCTGCTGATTGGCTAGAGTAGTCAGCTGGCACTCTAAGCCAATCAGTAGCTCCCCATTCGTAAAAAAGTAAATCATTTTTATGAACCGGGAACTAGCGATTGGCTTAGAGCGTCAGCTGACCACTCTAGCCAATCAGCGGCACCCATGCCTGACGTCAATCTGCACTTCCTGACACTCCGTTTCAGAAGCCCAATACCACTGAGCGACCTGGAAATCTGGAGGAAGCCTTTGGGGTTAAACCATTTGAGAGCGGTTTAACCCTTTAACCCCTTAAGGACCAAACTTCTGGAATAAAAGGGAATCATTCCTTAAGGGGTTAAAGGAAGGAGAGTGCCCAGGGGGCCTCCTGGCATTATAGCATTTTCATTTAGATGAAGTTGTTATGGTGATCAAAATGTTCCTTTAATTTTGTTTAAAGGAACACTATAGTGTCAGGAATACAAACGCTATTCAACCTGGCTTTATGTGATAATGACACTGTCAAAAAGGGACCAAGCATGGATGTAATTACAATTTTAACCCCCTCTCGCCCCCACCCGGAAAAATTCCTGCGGACGACCATGATTGTATGTATAAATTTTTTTTATCAGCTTCTCCATTTACTTTTAAATTCATATTCAGGATTACATCACAATCCAGTGCATACCAGGCACAGCCAGGGCACACAATGCAAACAGGGAGGAGAAGTAGAAACATTGTTTCATTTCTCCTGCTCTATGTCAGCTCTCTCTATGCGGACAGCAAGGTGTAAAGGGTGGAGCTTACATCAATGATTGACAGGGAGCTAAGATGGAGGCGCCCAGTTACAGGATAAAGAGGTGAGGGTTTCTTTATTGTTTTATTTTTCACACCTTACAAATAAATATTTGTTAAATATAGGGATAAGTAAGCAAACTATTAAAAAAATGACACCACCCTCCATCATGTTTATAGTTAATTAAAGGGACATTTCAAACACTGCATGTATTTGCATTCTAAATGTAAATAGCAATGCAAGATTTTATTTTTCAGACTAGAAATCTGAACAGAACATTTTCTTGAGTTTGTCCTCTCCTGTTAGCCTCTGTGAGATCATTTTGTGAGCAGGAATGGATAATAAAGCTGTATACTCAATACTGGAATAAAACCATCTTTGGTTCCAGAGTAGTTGGCGTCTTCATTCCTACTGATGGCCAGGTACCTGCTGGTGGAGTATCTGAAATTACCTGGGTTTTTTTTGGAATGTTCTCCCCATGCAGACCATGTACTAGAGCGCCCTGGTTGGAGTCAGTTCTCTCTCCTTTAAAGACAAAAAATGTTGTTAAGGGCCCCCAGGACTGAGACTAAAAGCTCCCAGACTCTGCTGTTTTGACGAGTGTATGACAGTAACTCATTCTGAAGGAGGCCAGTACAGTGGGACCTCGGTTTACGAATTTAATGCGTTCTCTGGGACGTTTCTTATTGTGAAAAATTTGTACACGAAACACAGTTTCCCATAGGAATGCATTGAAAACCAATTAATCCGTTCCGGAGGTCAGAAAAAAGTCAAAATGAGCTGGCATGGAAACCAACCCACAATGCGGAACACACAATAAAAGGCACGCAAACAACAAAGCTCAGCTCCCTACCTTTCCACAGCTTGAGAAATGCACCAAAAAGTCCCAAAACAACTGCAAACAATTTCCAGAATGGCTCCAAAACTCGATGCAAAAGCCGCTCCAACACCTCCACACTCAACGCCACGTGCTACCCGCAGGCTCTAGCATGCATCGGGCGGCGCTATAAATCTCCCAGGTGCAATGCATCCTGGGGAAACTTGCTTTGTATTACGAAAAAAATGTGTAAACCGAGGCATTATTTTCAATGGATTTTCATTTGTAAAACGAAAATTATGTTAACAAAGGCGTGTGTAAACCGAGTTCCCACTGTATAACACTGGGATAATGGCTGGTAGGCATTACAGAGACTCTGCCATAATCTGATTAATTATCGAGTGCTTCGTAAAACGTGTGTGTAAGTTGTTTGTTTTGTTTTGACGATGTGCGCTGGTTACAAGTTATTGGAAGCCGGACTGCCATTGTCTGACTGTACTGTGTCACTGTAATCTGACCTTAGCTACAAATCGAGTCACACAAAGCGAGTGTGAAAATAACGAGGAAATATTAAAGGAACGAAAACAAAAGCCATAACCACTACAGCAAGCAAACAAAAAGTAGGAAACTGGACACGGTAATACTAGGCTAGGTATTGGTGGCATTTCATACCTCCCACATTAGTCCACTTACTGGGGGGCACTAGATTGTCTATGTTTTATTATGTAACACAATATTTATTTTCTGCACTCAGAGAGTTAAACCCTTCAGCAAGCAGTGAGATCATAGCACTAATCTCATACCTCCCAAGTGTCCCTATTTAGGAGGGACCCTACCTCTTTTCTCTCCTAATGTCCCTCTTTTGTAGGAGCTCCATATTTTTGGTGTGTCTGAGTGTATAACAGAGCTCCACAGTAATAATACTCCCAGTAATGTGTCTGAGTGTATCACAGAGCTCCACAGCAATAATACTCCCAGTAATGTGTCTGATTGTATAACAGAGCTTCACAGCAATAATACTCCCAGTAATGTGTCTGAGTGTATAACAGAGCTCCACAGCAATAATACTCCCAGTAATGTGTCTGAATGTATAACAGAGCTCCACAGCAGTAATGTGTCTGAGTGTATAACAGAGCTCCACAGCAATAATACCCCCAGTAATGTGTCTGAGTGTATAACAGAGCTCCACAGCAATAATACTCCCAGTAATGTGTCTGAGTGTATAACAGAGCTCCACAGCAATAATACTCCCAGTAATGTGTCTCAGTGTATAACAGAGCTCCACAGCAATAATACTCCCAGTAATGTGTCTGAGTGTATAACAGAGCTCCACATCAATAATACTCCCAGTAATGTGTCTGAGTGTATAACAGAGCTCCACAGCAATAATACTCCCAGTAATGTGTCTGAGTGTATAACAGAGCTCCACAGCAATAATACTCCCAGTAATGTGTCTGATTGTATAACAGAGCTCCACAGCAATAATACTCCCAGTAATGTGTCTGAGTGTATAACAGAGCTCACAGCAATAATACTCCCAGTAATGTGTCTGAGTGT